GCAAGTAAATGAGCTGTTTCATCGCTCACTTTAGGGATTACTAAAACCTGATTAGGCAATTCTTCAGTCTAGTTAGGCATATGAGAGGGTCTAGTGGGTCCTCTAGACGTCATACATCGGTCCCTGGGTATCGCATAGTTTAACGCATTGTAAGTGGCACTTACGACAACTTCTCCAAATGCTATGCAGACCGAATTTACCGAGAACTTTTTACAGATTTACAACCAAGTTAGGCCCCTTTGGTAGGGCAGAGAGGTTCAAATCACATCCGTCAGTCACGTCAAACGGAAATTGGACGATATGGGGTGGATTTGAAGAAGGAAAGAAGCGGCAGGAAGAGCACAATAATGTACGCCATCGCTCTCTCAATACTTCCATTCACATGTCGGCAAAAAAAAACTGTAATTTAATTGAAAGTCAGGAATAGAGTTGGATTTAAATGGTGTCTTAAAATTCCATTCTTATTTGTTAAAAGGACGACCGTCAAGGGTGGAATCCCGGAGGACACTCCAAAGGGGAAGAAGAAAGCTGTGCGATTAAATAAGAATTTCCTAGTTGATGAAAGTCACTAGACTTTCAGCTCCTAGAAATCGACTTCTAGATTCGGGTACCACCTTAGTGGGAGTGGTTGGAGCCCCAATTCAAGGAGGAAACAATGGCGAGTTTTCGATTGCTCACAACAGAAGGAAAGGAGGTGAATCTGTGAGGAGCCAGCGACACTTTATTGCGTTTAACCGGGCCTAACGCGGTGGGTAGAAACTAACCTGTATCTTGTGTCTTAGAGCAGTCAAGTTAACTTCGGCTTTTTTGTATATGTAGGCGAATTATATGTGCAGAAACCAAGCGGTCCTCTACTGGCTAAAATGCTCGCTTTCACGGATCGTTGGAATAATTTTTATTGCCTTTCAGCCCTTTCAAAACCTATCGGAATTGCTGAGCGATGTTGAAATGTCAGTTCGCATATTAATATTAGGCTAGATGCTATAAACTCCCCATTCATTGTTAAATAATGTATTGTTTGTGGTGTGGAAATTCCGCCATCTCATCTAAACATGCTAAAATAGGCGTGTAAGGCATGTGAATTTAATACGTGGTCACCCTTTTGTTCCCAATTTCTTGCATTCTCATAATGCTGTTGATTTAGAAAGTGTACTTGCTCATGAATTATGTAAATTGGCAGACAAAATACTTAAACACCTCGATTTTAAAGCTGTTTCCCAACGACTCTCGAAGTCATTATGCGATGGGTTCATCTCTTCCGCCCCCAACGGGAATGGGTAATTAGGCGATTGAATATTGTTTTCTTAGCAGTAATCTGCCTATTTTTCTTTCATTTTCTCCCTTTATTTTTCGCTTTCGTAATCAATTGATTGAATCCAGCGATCCTCAAAATCGTGTGCGTAAATGAAGCGCCAGCATTTTTTTGTCCGAATACGAATCAGACTGGGCATTTTTTTCATAAAATACAAATAGAACATTCACGAGGCGATCGGCTGGTGCCAGCTGAAGTGAAACGGCCATGCATGGCTAACTGTTCGCAGCTCGCTTTAGGCTCTCCCCAAACCACAATTCCGCATTTACCTTGGAGAAGGTTGAAAGTTTGCCCTCTACGCCAGTCCTTCCTTCCTATTTACCTACCTAGACCAACTTAGCTTCAATATTCTGATGGAGCATGGAATTGGATGATTCACAAGCTTTGAAAAATTACGAGTTGCTGCCGAATCACTCATCTCAGGTTTATTTTGAAGTCAAATTTGACAGCAAAATCCCTCGTATTTTTTTAGCATTAATCTCGTAATGCCGCTTCCACCATCGTCTGTCCCCCTTACTTCATAGAAAAAAAACCCTCCCAAAAAGAGACGAAAATTTAGAAAATCGGGCCTAGGGACGCGATTTGCGTGCCACTCAGAGAATATCGATTTTTGGGACCGCCTACTCTTAGTCCAGTGACGATCACTCGAGCCTTCGCTTCAGACAATTATCGATCTTTGGAGAGCTCGACTCTGTTACAGGGACGGAGCATTACTCACACCGCCCCCGCAAGGTCTTTTGCTCTCCCCAATCTTGTCACAGAATCCGGGTCGCCCGGTTGGTGTCTGCGTGTATCTGTCTCTGTGCCCCGTGGTGAATTGAGCTCACACCAACCAAAACGTCTGTGCAACAAAACACTGGAAGGTGTGGACAGACAGTCGGTGTTCATAAGCTGTCAGTGAGACAGACAGGCAGACTTGCTAGCTAGCTAGCCAGCTGGCTAGCTCGTTCGCTTTGACAGCGCCGCACCGCGTACGTGTGTGTATGCATGCACAGGATTTATTTGATGCGCCAGGGGTGTTGGGCCAGGGGTGGGGTGAAGGCGAGATGGGAGGGGCGGGGCGGGCAGCCGTGCCGTTGGCTTTTAACACGCACCCACGCACGCACCCACACATGCACGCGCGCGTGCATGCATTCACATTCACGCGGCGCAGTTTGAAGGTTCAGGTGGCGGACGCTTTACTCTGTATGCTCTCTCGGGACTCCTCATCCTCTCAGTTTCTCCACCTCGTCGCCGTCGTCCTTCTGTTATTTGTAAGCTGTTCTTCCTGCCTCTTTTTTTCCACATTGCTAGTTCTCATCATTACAAAAATTGGAAAATGAAATCTGCCTTGGGCTCACTTTTCTATTTGCTCCAAGTAGAGCGCTTGACAGAGATCTTGTAAATAGGATTTCATCCACCACGAGACGAGTAGGCAACCTTCTGTGATGCTCTTCTTTTTTTTTCTCTGTGAGGAAATGCACGCATTTGGAGAGAAGCGCTATTCTGGTTGGGGAGGCAAATAAAAAAGTGCCACTTTTTGCCGTCTGGAATGCGTTTTGATGGAACTTTCTTCACCAATTTCGCTTAGCTCTCCCCGCTGATTCCATAGCATTGCCTTCACTGCATGCAAGCACTCGAAGAGGTCCCAAAATAAAGCCAAATTTGTAAACAGATATTAGGTTTAGGTTTTGTTTTACTTTTTGAAGAAAAGTGTCTATTATTTGTGGGAAGTGTACCCTTCTCCAGTTCTCTCCAGATCTGCGCGGCAGTTAACTGACCGCGAAATCAAATTACATGCAACGCTTCTTCTTCTTCTGGAGGAAGACGGCGTCTAAGTCCGCCTGTTTTTCTGGGTTTTAGGCAATTAATTTGTCTAGCCGAAGAGGGCAGGCGCTTTGGACATGACTGCATTGTTTTTGCGTTTGATCACAGTCCGTTGGACGATGGAGGAAGGAAGCCAGTGGCTGGCTAACACATGTGGGTGTGTCGTAGACTGAGGCAAAACCAAAGGTCGGCCGGTACTTTTTTCTCTCCTACAACACCAAAGGAATGATGATTCGCTATAGCCTAGTCAAAGTCCACTTTTCCAGGCAGAAGTAAAATCGCATCCCATTCCCTTATCACCTCCATAGAGCGTTGGCTTTTCTGATCCGGAACCGAAGCCTCTCCAGAGGCGTACCCACAAACGACACTGCGTTTGAGTTCCCCCTGTCTCTCGAAGTCCAGGCTTTCGTTTAATTATCTCTCGGCCTTTTCCTCCTCCATATTCCATGAGGTGGATGTGATGAAGGGGTTGTTTTTAATTGCGCAGCATAATTCTGACAAAGTTCGCAATTCCTTGCATTTCACTTCCCATTCTTTGTGCAAAAATTGTAGTTATCGGGAGAGAGAGAGAGAGAGAGAGAGCGAGGCGTGTACAGGGTGTAATAGCTTTGCATTGTACGGTACATGCATTACATCAACTTATGCGGTACACGATTTGCGCTAAAATTCCTCACCCTCTTTTTTCCTCCTTCTTAACTTCGGCCTTGTAATTCGTTTGGTCCTCGATTGCCCAAAGTTAACTAGGTAAGAAGAACAGGAAATCAAGCAACAATCTATTTGTTTTAATTCATCAATAGGCTTTTTTGTCGAGTAGATAGGATCCCCACCTATCGTTATTTATCACTTGAGGGTTCATTCTCGAGGCTTGTGGTTTACATGTTGCTTACGTGAAACCGCTTAATCGTTCCGTCGGAAGTGAACCGTCAAAACATTAATCACGTTTATTTAAGAGTACAACAATTCCAGCTAATAACGTATTTTGAAAGAAAAAAATTCATAAATTAACCATGGAAACACAATGACTCGACACAAATGCACGTTTGGAGAGGACTTTTTTTTGGGGGGGGGGGGGGGAAACGAAGGGGGAAAAAGGTGGGTCCACTCACTCAAATTTGGAAGTAGCAGTGCATTTTACCGACAGAATGCGTTGTATCAATTAAAAGTGTCTGGCCTCGCTCTTTCTCCACGTAAATGATGTTTGATGTACTGTGAAGATTTAAAAAAAGAAACGGGAGTTTGTGTTGCACCAGAGACGAAAAAGTCCAAATTTTTTTGCGCTTCCGTAAAAAAAAAGTGGACCGACTTTTTTCCCCTCCCATTCCCATGTGACAGCAAGCCAGGCCAAAATGAGACTTATCTTTACCAGAAAGCAAAAAGTGTGGATCATCTTATATCCACTGTCTTTTGCCTCACTTTGATTGGTCGACGCTGCTGTCAAGTGGTTGGAGGAAATACCCGCAGTCTCACCTACTCATCGAATGTCAAACCAGGGCCTCTTTGCAATCCTTATCCAGAGGCGGACTCAAATGCGCCCCCCTTTGTAAAAGTGTCATCCATTCCACTCATTTATGGCTGGTGGTGCATCCCTTTTTTTCTCCGCCGTGCTCCGTATTTCTGCATCCCGATTTCAAGGCTCCAGGTGTTTTGGAAATGAAGAGGCGACCCCACTAAGTGAACGCTGGAAATGGCAAGTAGAGACCAATTGTTACGCCTAACGGGGTGTGACTTTCAGTGCACCCATCCATTCGCTATGGGCAAGTGGAATTTCGAGTGGTTCCATGCTGGTGCATTTAAATATTTCATGCCTTTTCACGCGTCTTTTACGCTAGGAAAAGGGGTTTTTACGATGCCTACCTTAATGAGGTGCGTACCTTTTCTCATATTATCGAAGGGGCAAAAAAATGCAATTGTTTCTTATTATCCTGTGCAATTTTTGCCATCCAGCTTCAAGCAAACGTCCACTTTTTCGCAGAATCTGATGGTCTGGTGTAATGATGACGCTTTAAACAAATTGTCGGTTGGGGTTTTTTCACGGTGGATAACGGGTGGGGTCGTTTGAAATACACCTCCATTAAGCCTGATTCAACTGGTTTTTTTTCCCTTATTCTAGTATGCCATCGTTGTTTCGCCACATTTATCGCATCGAGTTACTTACAGTAGTCTTTCAAAGTAGGTTGGTAAAACTGTTATCGGAAGGGTGTGCATTGTAAGGCGCAAAGAGCGCTCATAAATTTTGATTTTTGAATTCAAGATCTTGGAGCCCCCTTTCTTGTGGAGAGTGCTGATGGCGGTTCCCCTTCAGGAATGATCCTAGCAAATTTTTCTCGGCATTAGCTAGTTAGAATTCCAAACCCAATTCGAAATATTTTGGCATTAATTTTCTTTCATTCTCAACCGCTACAGCGGGAGGGAGCACAGGTCGTGCGAAGCTGGAAGTCAGGCTGATTCCCCTGGCCTCAAATGCAGCAGTTAGTAAACAAAAGTCACTCCCCTTTTTTCCCCTTCGTGATATCGCGTAGCACCTGTCAAGTAGTTATAATTTGCAATAGAAATCGCATCTTTACCAAGAATAGGAAGGCGTGATTAAGGTGGTAGGAGTTTGTCAACCCTCTGGGGACGCATTTCCTGTCACTGCGTGTCGCTCCTCCCTCCACCCTGCGCACATGCTAGCTAGCTGAGATGAGAAAAAAAACTCCTCCACAGGGAAACTGAAATACTTCACCTTCCTATTTTGACATTTCTTTGATGTTGTCGTGACTCCGGTTGAAGGGCCATTAAATTTCTCTTTTCATGCACCACCGGTCAGACTTGGAGGCTACATCATGAATGTACTGCTTAAAGTCCGGGATGAGCAAGAGTTGCGACAGAAAGTGGTTTTACTACTTTCCTTCTGTCTGTCTTGAGGAGCAATTTAAGTCCACCCTCTTACGGGGGGGTGGGAGGAGAGGTGAAAGTGGCCGCCAAACTCCCCGTTTCAATAATCCAACACAGGGAGACGATTTTTTTTCATATATTCTCCCCATTAATAGTAAATCGCTAACTCCTACTTTTTAAACCTTTTTGGGCACCTTTTGTCCGTCTTTTCTCTCCGTTCTTTCACTGATTGCAAAAGAGGAGTTCGCACTTAAATTTCTACCTCCCCGCTCCTTCAATTAATTTTCTTTTACTGCTCCATTTTTTGTGGGAAAGCAATTTGGTAAAAGGATTTGTATGGATAAATTATTCCATAAAAGCGCTGAAGTGGCGAGATACTCTCGTATTCAGAAGGTAGCTACACAAGGAAATCATGAAATGGCTGGAGTACCGACTAAGGGTTTGAGGACCGGTAGATGTACGACATTTTCTGCAGACAAAAAAAAGGAGTAATGAAGACAAAGACATACACCTACGACTCTCCTACTTTCTTATCTAAGTCCAGCGTCACACAGATATGGTGTGACACTTGTTGCCTTGTCAACGGAGAAAGTGTGTGAGATACATCAGGCCGGAGGAGAAATAATTCCTTTTTTTCCCACTTCTAAGCAGTAGCTCAGTTACTCAAAGGAGAGGAAATGACAACTGGTGACACATTAGCACATAATAGTACCTGGGCGGTGGTGACTAGCCTCCCTCGCCGAGATCCTGGTTAGCAGTAGCCTTAGGTTTGATTTTTGAATACCAGGAATTTGAAAGGGAATGCTTACTGGGATCGGTGATTGGTCGTCTACTTCTCGAGGAGACTCTTTCTACCTCTAGAGCATTCTATGTGGGAGGTGGATTTATGGGTAGCTGAGGCTTTGACCACTTATAAAATTACCCTAATTTTTTAATGCCTCCTCCTCAGCCCTACTTTTTCCCCTGGAGGATGCTGTTTTTTGTTGGGGACAGGTTAATTTGGGAAGAAAAAGGAAAGACGCTTATTAAATCGGACAACTACTACTCATGTCCTACTGGACAAAACAGAAAGGGCAATTTTTCACAGCCATAGGGAAGGAAAGAAATGGGAGGTGTGTGAGGAAACGCTAAATAGTTTTTAATGATGATAACGAGGGACGTGATGTGGGCCACAGAAATGACGTTGCTGACATCGAAAAGTGTACTTTAGCGTTCCACACCATTGCATTGTGTGTCGTGTCATGCCGACGTAGTTTAGAAGCACAGCACAGCGCACCCCAGCCCAGCCCCAATCCGATTTGCGCTGCAGCGCTTGTCAAACGCCTTCCGTGGCTCTCATTGGCTCGACTGGGTTGGCGCACACGCCACACTATCAAGGAGTCCTTGGACCTAGAACATGTGCGTGTATTAAGATGCGCTACTGCCCTCCTGTAAGTCAGTCTTCTGCCATTCCTGTAGTTTTTTTTGTCTATTCTCAACTCAACAAATTCATCCCTCCCACTGAGATCATTCATTACACCCTTGTTCCGTAACCGGTACTGCATTGTTTCTGACACCGAAACCAGGTGGGTGCGCTGACCCAATACTCGGAGAAGCCTAGTAACGGCCTCGTCACGGTGTTTAGGCATTACAAAGTCCACATTCAGCTCTCCGCGGTACCGGTGCTAGTTTTGCCATTCGATAATACACTCCGTCTTTTCGCTTTCTGCGATTGTGGCAGTAGTTGTCTAGGTTTTCGGAATTGCGCCTTCCAAAACTAGGGTAGAAGGATGGTGGGTTTTCTGTGCCTCCGGAACAGATACTTTGTGAATGATGAACTCCTTGCAGGCACAAGTTGAGTTGGAATGAGGCGAAAAACTAGAGTGACGTGTTTCATAACCTGGCATCACTTTGATATCATTGACGTCATGACGTCTAACTCCATCAAACAGCTAGCAGTGCTGTTCTCTCTTGAGAGGTCCACTTATCGTATGTTTTGCAAGTTAAATGTCTTTTTTGGAAAAGAAATTTTGTTAGCTATGAGCAGCAACAACAGCGAAGGCTTGTGATCGAAAGTGGGCTAACTTCAATTTGTCCACCACTTGTCTTCCCACAACTGTTCCTCCACTTCAATGGCCTTTTCACCTCACAGCGTGTGGGTTTTAATGTCCAGTTAAGTTGGTCCACGCGCACTGGATTGGCAAGTCCAGTCGCACGGACGAGTGACTCAGAGGACAATGGAAACAAAGCCATTCAACTTGGCGATCCTTTGTTTTAGTCGCCACGTCACTCAGACACCCTTCAACCCCCGCTTGGACTGCTTATTGATTGTCGTTGTGTTTAACAAACGAGCTTTTAGCACCTTCTTTTATTTATTGTTTTTTGAAAGAGAAGGTATATATAGTCCCTGTGAAGGGGCCTTCCACTTCCCTCTACACCCTCGGACACACATGGTGATAGCATTTCATGTTCTTCGTGTTTATTTTTGACAATACGTGTCACTCCGCGTCACACCACGCACCACCATGCATGGCGTGTAGTTGCCTCCGGTCGTGAAGTTACGATTTCCGTTGGACCATCCCAAGATAAATAGGCTGTCACTTGGGGCCATATAATGCACACACTGGGTTGCAGTTTTTCGTGTTTTAAAGTTCACAGATTCGCCCTCGTGCGCACCCTCTCTCTCACAAAGAAATTCTAAACACAAAACACGCAAATAATGGGGATGTGAAAAAATCTGGCTGTGGGAAAAGGCGAATTAGTAGGCCGATCCCTCCAATCGGTTCACTTGTCCGCAAATTTGGGCTGTTCAACTGTTCTTCCGTCGCCTACTGGCTTATTTTAAGCGTCCAGTTGTTGTAAGACCACGTTTTTTCTTTTTAACTTGCGTCACTAAATGACGACAAAATGCCCCTCCCACAGAGACGCAGGCCGACACGTAGCCTGGCCTCCATCTAGGCGGCACTTTATCGCCTCTGTGCTTGTCAAAAACATGTTATCCTTCCCTCAAAATGAATATCAAGCCTTCAGGCTGGCTCTTGCAATTTATCGCTCTTTTCACCATCTCTTTTGTAGATGCACCACCTAGAGTAATCACAAGTACTCAAGACCACTCATCATCATCACCGCCTTTTGCATTGTCCTCAAGTCCAAACAGAAGTCTTTCAATCAATTAAAGTCAGCAAAACGGCGGAACTATCAGACTGCTATCAACCACCCCACCATTACCAGGCTCCCCAACTGGCCTGTTGGCCAGCGGCCTTGGATGGTGGGTCGATAAACGCGAGCCCACAGGCCGGCGCGGCCCTCTACAGCCCCTACCTGGCGACCCCAGCCGCCGCGGCAGCTGCAAGGGTGGGCACGCCGGCTATGCCGAGCATGGGCAGTCCGACGGAGGTGCATCAGGTGTTGGCGGCTTTTGCGGCCGCCACGGCTGCGGCCACCGCGTCACCGGGCGCCATGAAGGATTCGCGATGGCTCACACTGGAGGTGTGTCGTCAATACCAGCGGAAAATGTGCTCGAGGGATGAAAATGAATGCAAGTTTGCTCACCCACCGCCTCATGTGGATGTACAAAATGGACGCGTAATTTGCTGCTATGATTCCATCAAGGTGGGTGCCTCTCCAGTTTCTGCCTAATTTCTTTTAATACTGCAAACTTTGACGTATCCATGGGAAGTTTGAATCGTAGTAGAACCTGAGGTCTTGCTCTGCCGTCCCTCTCACCGTTCTTCCTTAACGCGTCATTTCTCTGCGCTCGAGAGTGTTTGATGCACGAGTCATGACAACGGACGTGCTAAAATAGACCCTTTCCATACCTGAGATCATACCAATGCGATTTTAGGACTCATACATGTGATAGACTTCGAAACTCTGCCCAGTAATTTGAAACGACCTCTAACTGTACCCCTACTGAGTCCACGATACGTAAGGTTTTCAATTTCACTGCTCTTAACATAACTCGGTTGTGGGTGATTCCTTTGCAAATCGGTGACTAAATTAATGTTTCAGGTCGGGCACATCACCAAGACAACAATAAACATGGTAATGAAGTAACCTTGAGCCTCTGTGTGAATTCTTTTTCTCCACTGGTTTGAAAAACACTGTATTTTGTGTCAAATTGGTTTTAAAAGCATCTCGAGAGTCGTTTCTCTAGGGTTGTTCCCTCTCTGAAACATATTCGGCCATCTATCTGCTAAGCAATGCGTATACATACCTCTTTAAAGCACAAATGTCACCTTGAATAGAGAAGAAAAAAGTTGCAGGGATTTTGCTTTCCGGGTTAAATTTTTCATTACTTTAGGCACAACATCCGAGAGTGAATAAAGGCATGGGGTGGGGGGAGGAAAGAATACATACTACAATTTGCATTTCCTTCTAAAAAAGACTTTTTCAAATCGTCGACGTAAAAGTTGGTTAGCTTATTTAAATCTGGTGGATTTTGTGGATCCATTTGTTGTCAAGCTTACAATGCCCCCCATCGCAGAGGCACTCAACCGGGTTAATTAGATCACAAGGTCTGATCCCGGTGGAGTAATTTAAGGGTTGCACATTCTCTCTTGAGCATTCTTTTCTCGTCTATTTTTGGTGTCACTTTTCGTCTTTCGGTGTCACGAGGCGATTTGGGGAGAGAGGCTTTGCTGCGCTTGCATTTTGAGTGGTTACAAAGAGCTTCAGCTTCTGGCTGGTTCTCTCCTCTCTTACTTGGTGCCGTTTGTAAGGCTAAGAGAGAGCATTTTGAAGACTACTTTGTGGTTTCCAATCCGGTGGCGATGAGAATGCAATCTCGCCATCTACTGACGCAAGTGATCCGTGGAAATTCAGAACTGTCAAGTGGTAGCACAAGTCACTGTTCATTCCACCTCTGAAGTAGTTTTTTCACCTCGGAATATGTGCACATGCTTGTGTGTGTATGTGTGCGTCAGGATTACTCATGTCTGGTGAAACAATGGCTTGCCTGCGCGTCAGAAGCTTGGCCGTATCACCCAAACTCCGACATGTGATGGGTGTAGGGATTGCAACAGGCTTAGTCACTTTCGCTTCAGTCACCTTTGTCTCGAGAGAGGTTAGCTGAATGTCCCGCTTACCGCTGTCTTAAATGCTATCATCTCTTGATGGTCATTCGTTATACTTGATAAAATTATTTATCAATGTCAAATCACAGCCACCGGAAATCGATTTGTTTTTGACCAGTCTTGTTTACTTCTAATTGGCAAATACACAAATGTGTCGTCGGTATGCGCCGCCCTTCTGTAAATAGTGGGCTGTTTGAACAGAATTGACTTCTGAAAGTGGGCTACAGGCCGGTAAATACTGTGATTTACTGCTGCCTGGGGTAAAAGCGAGCTGAATGTGGTGGAATGCATATTTTATTCACATCTCTGTAGCCTAGGGCTCCTTTTAAACTGTGTGAAACAAATCACACTTTCAAATTCTGAGTCAACCTACTGCTCTCACAAGTGAAGAACACACTCACGACTACAGTCACAACCTTTAATCCTATTTGTTTTTTTTAAAGACAATAAAGGAGCTAGAGAACCAGTGTCAAGTTTTCTTTTATCGCAGCACTTCCTTAGTTTGTCTCTGTAAAACGTACACTTGGGAAAGTTACCAGTTTGTTTATCTGGGAAGAATACTATTAGTTGCTATCGCAACTGAATGGAGGAGAAATTGAACGCTTTTTATTAAAAAAAAGAAAAGGAATCTGATAGTCTTTAGCAAGTACGTTACTTTGTTACATGCTGGATAGCCTAATCGCCTTGGGGATGACCAATTTGATTATTTCAGAGTCACTCTAGCAGGAGTTTTCTTTCCCCAGTGGTTAAATGGTTGGATGTGAGTCATCTGTTAAAAGGGTGCTATTCTTCGACTTCTGGGGTCTCCTAGTCCTTACCCAAAAGAGTTCTTCGCTAGTGCTAAAGGCGGAATGAATGCGTGCGTCGCCTGCTGTCCTGTTGTACCTTTTTGGTTTCCTCTGTTAAAGCTTAATTCAGCCCACTGAGGACTGTACACCGTGCAAAGGTCAGGTCCAGTATGTAAATTCCTTGCTTCAATTTGTCCACGTGGAAAATGTCAGCATGGAAACGCCATAATGTCCTCATAAACACGCCACTTTAGTCATTCTTCTTCTCTCCCCTTAATTGCGATTGGGATTGGGCGTTCTACCCCGTTTTCTTGAATCATGGATAAAGAGGCTGCAACACTTGGGTTGCCACGAGAGATATAATGAGGCATTCCGGTGCAGAAGACTTATTAATACATGGAAGGTTCGGGTGGCTATTGGCACGGACGGGTCACTATAACGCCAATTTTATCGGTGACCGAACCACCGAGAGTGAAGACAGTTTGTATTATCCGCTCCCCCCGTGATCATCCACAGGATCCGATCATCACGTAGTAATCAAGTGTTTCTAAACCACTTTAATTGGGGCTCTGGGTTAACGGTAGCGGACACCTGGTATAGGGATTTTCACGTAATACCTAACTGAAATTGTTTCTTTAGAGAATGCATTTTTCATGCCTGTGTTTAGTGTTCATTCCTACTTTGCTGTTTCTTCATCTTGGAGCTTGGGGAAGTTTGATTTTTTTCGTGTGACATCCAAAAGGGGGTTCTTTGCAGACGTCATCAATTTTCTAAAACCTGCTCCTGCTTCATTTGGGGTTCTGATGGCCTGAAAATGTTTTGTCTGTTCACGTGCAGATTCAGTTATGACAAGACAGTGCCTTCCTGTGACATTTTGGCCTAGAATTCAGTCAGTGAAATTGGAACCGTCTGGGTCGGTCCTTCCAACTTGGAGTGGGTTTACTATCAAAATCTGCAGGTGGGTTTAGCAACCACATCAAGTGACACCAGCCTGTGCAGTTAAACATGCGCAGACGGGATATGCCACAGACGAGCGATGGGCTCTTTATGATTGATTGAACTGCTATTTTTTGTGAATGGAAAAGCTATTGGGGCGAACTGGAAATACCTACAGTGATCTCGTACTTCACTCTGTAATCAAGATAACATCTTAAATTTATGTCCCCATGCCCTATCACACGAGTGCTCAAACAGGGAGAGAGCGAAAGATGGGCATAGCGAGAGAATGTATGTGCGGGCGTTTGATGTACCGAAACATCAAAAACTAACACTGCTATTATTTGGCCGCCATTTATCCCCCTCTCGCGGCGCCTACCACAAAAAGCCTGAACAATAACTGCAGCTGAGTTGGGGATGGGGTGGGGAAGGTGACTCGTGGCGTCATTCCATTCCCCCTCCTTTTTAACGTTTCAGGAGTTTTGGGTCACCGCTAGAGCACTTTCACGATGGAATGTCAGGTTTTGGAAAAACTTTGCGCCCACATGAAATTGATAGTAAAGTCCCTACTGGGAGAACCAACAAAGGGTCTCGTTTAATGTCGTACATTTATATTCATGACCTCTCTTGACAGGATGTTTTTAAGTGAACGCTTCTTCAAATAAAAATTCCGTCTTATATGCAAAAACTCGTACTCCCAAATGCTATGCAATACTTGGCGTCGGATTTTAACATCACTAATTGTTTGGGCATGAAAAGTTCCTTCCAACTCGCCCAAGGGAGGCGAAGGTAGATACAAACTTGAGTAAATTAGCTTTGATGTTTAATTTATTCATAAAGTGAGACATGAAATCTTGAAATCTCTATGCCTTTTTTGGCTCTTGTCAAGTTGAGGCGCGCGAATTCGCTTCTCTAAGAAGAAAAAGGAGAAGAAATTGACAGGCCTTCCTTTTTTATCAACTCCATCAGGTAGGAAAAGATGATGCCAATTGCCTCGATCTCGACCTTTATGGAGGGGTTAAGGCTCAACCTTCAAATCACACTTCCTCCTTTATCACCAACTTCGAAGGGTCTGTCACGTTTTTGATGTGGATGTTGATATTATGGATCACTTTGCGTTCTGGGAGTAAGAAACGTTAATTTCACTCAAATGTCTCCACCCCAGAATATTTGCCCAATTATTCTCATTATATTGGTGTGAGTTTCACCGTCGGGTGCGGGTTATGGGAGGTGGTATCCCGATTTCCCCACCCAAGTTTTACCTGAGCCACTTGTCCGAAGAGGGGACCAGCTTGTCAATTGTTGGAGGTAAGGAAGAAATGCAGTTGTCTGTGCATCCTCACTCCACTTTTTTACCAGTGCGTGCGTAAAATAGTTTAAAATTAGGCAAATCCAGGTCACCTTCCACTCGGCCTAATCGTCTAAAGTTGCGTTTAATGAGGGATGAGAATGGGGCAGTGGTTGTCGTTATCTTTTTGTGATGGGACATAAAATAGCAACTTTTTATGCTAATGAAGAAGCAAAGCTACATTCACGGAGCGGAGTTGCCTGGTTTTTTGCCACTCTTCCCGGATAAAATTAAAATTTTGGAACGCGTTTATGTGTGCGCTGTTGTGCGTGGATAACTTATACCCGGAGGCAGCGGGCGAACGGGCGGACAGGGACATGTGGAGCGGGGGCATTAGCTTGGCTGCCGCATGATTTAGGCATGGCGTACTGTACAGTCATGGTTCTCGGATGACCCTACATTTAATCAACTTGTTCGAACTCGTGTTTCACCAGCGCCGAAGTGAGGGCGGGTGGGGGTGCTTGAGTGTGTGCATTGCTGGCTTGTTTCGGGTGGTGCCTTTCCTCTTCTGTTTACCGTCTTTGACAGCGCATCACCGAGGCGTGGAAAGGAGAGATGAGTTGAAGCAGTAGAGGCGCCCGAAGGTAAAATTGTGCCTCGTAAATTTATCAGCGGACAGGAGGTGATTCGGAAGACATGAGTACAACCGCACTATGTAATCCTGAAATAGGCGAAACGGGTTGAAGGGCTGTAGAAATCGGGCGTCAATGCTGCTTTACCCGACGATTTACTATTTTGTCTCGTCAATGGTCTTCAAATAAAATCAAAAGGAAAAAAGGGCGAGAGGGACTTTGCAACCGACTTGCTTAAAAACACTCTGGAGTTCTGAAAAACCTACTGATTGAGTAAACTCAATTTTTCACTGTTTGAAAAAGGCTAATTGTGCGGATCTAAACACACCATAATCATTTGACAGTTAAGTGACAGGTTAAACGGAAGAATGATTCACTTCAATATAATGCATTCCTACCTTTGTTTGGTAAAATTAGAAGGAAGGAAGGAATAGAAAATATTTCACTCTCCCGCTTCCAAATTAATCACCCCACCTCCAATTCGCCGACGTTGTTATTGTTATTTGTCCACCTTTGCACTGGCCAAACACAATACCAACCACAAGGTGTTTGAGCTATTGTGGAGAGCTTCGCATAATGAAATTTTAATAGTTTGGGAGAGAGAGAGAGAGTGATTTGTTTCGTGTGTGGTGGTGGACTTACAGACCAATGGAATGAGAGGTGTGAGATAAAGAGGGGCTATTTCTAAAACCCCTCGCTAGTTAGCTAGCAGTGATAAAATAAACCCTACCTCTGTTTCCCTCTCGCCTGCCCTGCCGACTGATTTCCTTTGAAGTTTCATTTATTTGGCAGAGAAAAAAAGGCAATGATTTATTCAATTTCTCTATCCCCCCCCCACTACTCATAAAGTATGAATTAATTTGGGGAGTTTGTTTTTTTTTAGCAAATCACATCTAGGTGGTGCACTTTTTTTTAATTATCTGTTGTGAAATGGTGTGATTTTATTGTCATTATATGTGTGCCTCTGGCTCCGTGTAGACAAAACGCATCAGTTGTAGAATTAGCGTGAATTAAGTAGGGAACCTTTACCATGGCAATAAAAAGCCTCCATGAAATTGCCCATTATTAGGTGAGCGTTTATTCATTGCCCATTGTTTTGGGCGAAAAGGCAAGGATATAACAATCCAAAAGACATAAGAAGCAGAGGAGAAGGAGTGGATTAAAGTCTGGCAGTAGCATCATCAACAGAAGTGTCTATATTAGCGCATAAATTATAGTGGCGTCAAGGACGCAACAGTTGTGTTGTCAGTCCCTTGTGTGTGTGCGCTATTCATGTCTGCCCACGTTTTTTCCCTTTTGCTGACTATTCAAACTTGATTTCAGGCAGATTAAATTCCACTGGTGGTGTAGAAGTGTGTAGAACTTTAATGATTATAGAATTTATCAGAAAAAAGTTGCATCCGTTAAGCATCGCCAAGGCCCTCCATCACCACTTGTCCCCCTGAATGTGATTGGTTCATGGCGCTTGAGGGCAAAATGCCTTTTTTTCAGTGGATTGGAGAAAGTTTTTTGCCTCTGCAAAGCAAAGATTTTAGATTAAATTAATTACATCTAATGAAGGTTCTTTTTACCTGTTTAAAGGGGAAAGTGCTTTGCATTATTCTAATTAAAACTTACCTGGGAAATGATTGGCTGATTGGTTGTTTATTCAATTTCAAAAAGCTAAGAAACGGTCGGTATAACTGGCATAATTTTTAATCAAGAATGCCACTTTTGGTCTTACACTTTCATTCATAAGGGTATGAATAAAATAATGCCCGACTCTGACCGATGATAAACTTGAATAACACCGTAGATGAATCTGATACAATCAGCTCTTTTTTCCTTGATTTTCTACCCAGAGTTTGTGTTTTGATGCACTTGTAGGGGTGTGCTTTATTTCTTTCTTTAATTATCATAAAATAGACGTTTTGTTGTCAATAGCGTTAACTTAAATAATCTCCGCTCCGTTAAGTGCTTTTTTATTACGGGTCGCATGATGACGTTGAAGAGTTCTCTCCCGGAATACAAAATGGGGAATATTTTTATGCACGTCTCTGCCTATAAAATGTTCCCATGGGGACAACGTCAAATGCTCTAACGCAGTGACCTGTCCCCATGACAATTAGTAGGACTTATTCCCTTTTTGTTCTACAATTTCTTCTGTTTAATGATAGCATTTAAATTCAAGTGGGGTTTTTTTTAGGAAATTTACTATGCGTTGGCTCTGATCGGAATGTTTTAGCTTAGCGGTAAGTTATTTTAAGAGCGCTCGGTGAAATACACCTTACCCTTTGTTTTTGTGGCGCCATTTAGATTCGCCTTAAAAAATATTTCAAAAGTAACTTTATCTATGCAATTAGGGCGATTTAGCAGACGGGAAATAAACTGGGGTATGTTAGTGCCTAAGAACTTATCTGTCTTCTTTTCAATAAGACGATTCTTTCTGCAAAATATGACTTCCTGAGCCAACGTTTACATCAACATTCTGGATCGGGCCGGGATTTAACTTAGCTAGGACTTTAGTTGAGATTTGTCTGAGATATTAGGAATTTCTAAGTAGACTCGTAAAACACAAGGAAAAAAGTCATATCTTGTCTTTTGTAATAACGATTTCTTATGTGAAGAAAGCTTTTTTCCGAGGCATAAACCTGTCCTTCCGGTTAAGGGAAGGTTGATATTTCAAGCGTAAAACACTTTTGGTTACTTGAAGCATTTTGTTTGGCGAGTCCAGCAAATTCTCAGTCCCTCTCGGTTAAGGTTCGGTTTCGGCCGACTGGAAAATCGATAATTCGGTGCATGTGGTTCTGCGTAAATTAAACCACCGATCATTGCGATCAGCTGCGTTTTTATTCAAGTTTATTTATCTTTTAATTGCGTACAAAATTTTTCCACTGTTCTCAGTTTGGTCTTGGAAGAGAAAAAAAAAGAACACCTTTTTATGGAGTGGTATACTATTTGCGAAAACCGCCCTAGGAAAAGGTTCCTTTTTCTTCGTAGGAGGAAAAGCGGTACATTGGAGCAAAAAATAGCCTTCATTTAAATGGCAGTTCCGGGAACTCCGAGCCCTTTGTTTTATGGGTGTTTTCTATTTAAAAAGTTTATGGGTAATGTGGCCTGGGAGCGGGACCGTGCCAGTTAACACTGCTGCCACACAACTAAAGAAACTCTGTTTTGGAGTTTTAGTCTTCCTTGGAGTTAAACTGCTTCCACTTTTGTCATTAAATGGGAAGCAATTTTGTTGAAAAGCTCAAAGGACGTATAATTATCGGTTAAAAACTTACTTTGAATAAGGAAATCAATCCACGAATCGCGACTATTTCTGCGCTCGTTAGACCCAGAAATTCCTCTCATCATTTTTTCTTTCCCATTTTTAATGAGATGTAAGAAAGAAACTCTTGAAGGCCCTAATAAAGAAGAGATTTGGTCTCGAGTGATTAAAAGAAGGATACTGGCTTAAGAAACTATCCATTTTTCACATTTTAGCTCTCGAGTCGTACTGCTACCTTATTTTCGTCGCAAGTGGCCGCGCTAATTAAAACTGTCATTGAAGGCTCTTTGAGACTTTTTACTCACTTTTATTCCTTGTTGAGCATACAGAAGCATAGTATTTGGCAATAAAGGTGAAAAACGCTACAGAAGTCCCTGTCACTCGGGCAAGGTCGGTATTTCAATGCCTGGAGTAGGGAGTGCAGTTTTTAGGATATTCTGGTAAACAGGGTGATGCCTTTCAAAGGCCTTCGCCTCTAAGCGCTGAAGCAGAAATCTGTGCTTGCGAAACTGCGGCACCCTTTGGTAGCTGTCATTGAGCTTGCCTAATTCCAATTGCATTCCTGTTCATTACTTCAGGGCAAGTGCCAACGACGCGACCCTCCCTGCAAGTACTTTCACCCACCACAACACCTTCGTGAGTTGCTTCTACAGAATGGGCGAAATAACTTGATATTGAAGAATATGCAGCTACAATTGCTGCAACAACAACTGGCCCAGGGTGCTATGCTGCCAGGGCTGTCAGCCGCACTGGCAGCGACGGCCCCAACACCCTCTGTGGCTTCTCCGGGCACCCCGGCTACCCATGGTATTGCGGGGGCGCCTCAGTGTCCCAATCCCACCTCTCCTGTCTCTTCTGCTTCCATTGGTCCCACGGTGAGTGATCTGGTGGGTCTACTACTACTAGGTGACATTTTACTGTCCCACGTAACCTTGACAACTAATTTGGCATGAAGGAATCTCATAAATTTTGGCCGATTTGTGTATACTACCGGGCAAAAAAGTTAGGAAGGATACTCTGCATTTGCTTTCCCTCGCTTTTCTACCTCGATCAAAAGGTATTGGGGTATTTTTCCCTTCTCCTCCCTCCCCTCATTGGAGCATATTTTCTGTTTGAATCCATCCACACTCTTAGATAGAAGTTCCTTTTACACTTTGATCAGGAAGTAAAGGGAATGACACGTGAGTGATCAAATTCTTGTTTTTGAGGACTTTTTTCTGGTGAAAGGGTCTTTTGCTTTTATGTTGTCTTCAGAAGAATGTTTGGTGAGTGAGCATGGAAGCCTGTCGGGCTTCCGTCCCGAGTAAACAGTAGACAAAAACTTCGATACCGATGCTTTCGTTTGTCGACGAGTATGAGGGACTCACTGGCTGGGTACCTCCAGTAAAAAAGTATCGCAAATGAGCTATTATTTAAATCCTGGGTTTCGCCACTTTCGGTTCATTTGAAAAAAATTATCTCTACCCTCCGTGGCAAATTTCCGCCTGTTACTTTGGGCAGAGTAGGGACCTTGCTGCCGGTTCTCTTCGCAACTTTCTTTGCATAAAGTGTGTTTTCTTAATCATTGAATGAGTTTTCGTCCACTTTCTTCGCAAATAGCAGCAGGCTTTCATTTGCAACAGGTTTTGTTTAAAAAATGTGATGAAATTTCGCCAAAATTCATCGTAAAATTTCGCTTTTTTCGCTTAAGCTAAAGTACACGGCTGGTGATTTTAAACTCCCACTTATCTAATGGAAGGGTTTCTATAAAGGTTTCCCAAAATCGAGATTGTCTTTTTTAAAGGTGTCAGGGACGCGGTCTCATCAAAGCTTACATTAAAGCCATATCGGTAGGCTTTCTTATGGATGTAAAACTTGGGGGATTGATCAAAAAGTAGTTGGAATGCAATGATTTGTGTACAGTTTTTCCTCGAACTAGCCCGTTTTTTCCTCACAAATAGCTGGAGATTGTCTTTTATTTTCATTAATTACCTCAGGTGGCAGTTTTGATCACATAATTGTTGTTGGACCCCTCTCAAAAGCAGAAACGCGTTGCTTGGCTTCTCTTTGTGACCTGTCGAGGAGTGGGTACTGCCTCCCCCTCCCCGTGCCTTTCAAATCTTGAAGACGAGAAAAGAGGGTTTATAGAACTCCATCACCGCAGGAGCTTGAATCACTTCAAGTCATTATGATCCACAACTATTGACAAGGTTGACACCGGTTAGATGAAGGGAGATAAGGATGTCGTGTTTTTTTTTGACATCAAACTATTTTGGCACAAATTTTTGGCCTCAAATCCTCTTTTTTATGTTTGGAGTGTAGAAAGGAAATAATCACCTGTGCCTCCAACTGCCAGTACCCGATCAAATGGGGTACTAAATGTCAAAAACCAATCTAAAGTCAATTAAAATGTGTGTATGTGATTTATTAACGTCACACTGCCAAATGCAGCCTGTGTTTTCACTCCAATGTGACATTCAATGTGTTGGGTGTGTGTGTGTGTGTGCTTTGACACACATTTCACTCAGGTTTCTCAATTTTGAAAATCCACAATTTTAACGCAAATAAACACATGCACGGAAGTGATAGAGGGGACCATCCACAAGGCACTCCTTACCATCGGTGTGGGAGAGGTGGTTTTCGACTGGACGGTGGAACCTCGGATAAGCCTTTATTTCACTCTCCCATACAGGTGTCAATTTTTCCTGAAGAAAATGTCACTGTCAATTGATAAGTGCATTTCCCTTCTCATTCTGCATGCACACACAACGTATGCATTGTGTTTTGCCTTTCTAAAGTGTGTGTGTATGTGTGCGCCTGCGATTTAAACTTGGAAATTGCCTTTTTGCTGGCATGATGGCTTATAAGTTACCCTTTTTTGGGAATTGTGATATTGCGAACTAGATAAGGATTCGCTCACATGGCAGTAAAATCACTGAAGTTTCCAGCCAAACTTCCATTACTCTCTTAACCCCCCCGCCCCATCTGGGATCCGGAAGTAGAACTCCTGAGAGTATGCCAGTTTAATTAGAAAGTACGCAGAGCTTTTTTTTTATCCACTACGCATAGCGATCTGTTTCTGTTGATAAATATTTTCGGAGGAATCGATGAATTTTAGCTGTCAAAAGAAGGCCATCCCATGCTACTTATTATGATTTCAGTACCCAAACCACAGTACAATGACATTGAGGATTTAAATTGACCTTTTAAAATGTCCTCGGGAATCCTGCGGTTATCTTGCAAGGCTATCAGAGACGAAATTAGGCTATGCTGAACACACAGGAGACTATTTCAGCTAAAGGAAACTTGGAGCTCCCCTCTGTGGTACAACCATTGAAGGAAGTCGCCTTCGTAATTACTTCCGGTCGCCTGCGAATCAGGCGATCTCCCATAATCCTTAATTTTATGTAAATTTATGCTTTCAAGGAATTGGCTTATGTACTGCCGCCACATTTGGGTTCTATTGTCTCAACCCATTTTTATGTGCATGACTGCAATCTTGTCTCTCATTTTTACCAAAATCTTGTCGCACTCAGGTTATCTCTCTTTATAAAATTAAGGATTTTCCTTGTTAAAAGTAAAGCATTTTTTAATACTTGCTGACTCACACTGGTTTTCTACCCAACTGTCACGATCCCATTCCAATCCACATATGTCACATATGTGTGACGAGGGGGCTGAAGTAAAAAAAAAACGCGGCGTTGCATGAATATGCCGCTGAGAGTGAACTTGTTAAGATTCGTTCCCAAGCCGCTCAGGACATGTATCAAATCCTCACCTATTAATAACTCTAAATCTTTTTTTTTCGCTTAAAATCTACCGAATAAAAGTGGGTGGATTGCAGCACGCCCTGAACACGGATGGGTGGTGATAAAAAGGTACTTAATTTAAAGGAACGCCCTGCATTAGAAGTACCTCGATGGCGCTACATTGAGCATGACCTTGAGTGCCTTTGAGGTTGATTTGTTTTTTCTTCAACTTCCCTATTATTCAGATGCGACCAGTGAAAAACAATGAGTGCATCCTTGAAACTTTCATTGGCATGCGATGTGTGGTTAATGGCTGGAATTTTATTGTATTCGCCCGCTGGATGCTGCAAAGAAGCTCAATGGCGATATAATGAAACTAAAGAAACATTTTAACGCCTGGATCTTGTCAGTGGAATCCGGGGTTGCGTTACTACAAGTCTGAGAACCTGCTCTTAAAAGTGAGGAAAAAGCGTACTTGTTTCGACTGATAGACCTTCTAATGAAGTAAACATGCTGCTAAGCAAGTCCGAAAAAAGAACAGATTTCTGTTTATCTTCCTCCTTCTCCTCCCCACCTCGCGCTCTTAGATCGGTGGGATGACTACACAATGCAGCGACTTCTCATTGGTTCGCCTCCACTGTCTGTATTAGGGATCTACCCACTCCCATCGTGTCTACAAGTAGCCTGGAAATAATGACGGCTCTTAGGCAAATACACTTGTCTCCCTCGCGGTTCTAAGTGCCTGCTGGTATAAATCGTGCGCCTAGAACAATCCAACTGATAAGTTGTGCATTTCGAGTGGAAAAGAGGAGGAGAGGCCGACATGAAAGATGAAAATTTTAGAAGAAGTCTTTATTATCGTTTTAGGGAAAGCTTATTTATCCGCCCGCGCCTTCATTGAATCTAACCCCCCAAGGGATGGCAACAACCTACTCATTGCTGGTAAGTAGTATGTACTTACCCGCTACCCTGATCGTAGTAGCCATTTGCATGAGCACCAATCATCATAATTATTTATTTATGTGGTTAGAAAGCAGTATGCATGTCTAATATTGCACACTATTCTGCTTTGGTGACAGCTTCAAACGAGCTTCACTTTGGGTCTCTATGTCGTACAATGCTTCATTATTTTTTTTTAATTCCAATCAATTTTTGATAATTGCTAACCCAGTAGAGTAGATACAAGTGGATTAGATTGAACCCATCCACAAGAGCTTTAGCAAGGCTTTAAGATGTTTGCTTTTTGTAGACAATCTTGTTGTCTATGTGTCATTTTCATTTGATATAAAAAACCACATTTTTTCGTCCCATCTACCTGTTATTCATTCGTTCATTCAATCACTCCCTTGCTTGCTTGTCATGCTCACTACTACTACTACTACTAAAAAACTACGGGCTTTCTCTTTTTTGTTTGTTTGTTTGCTTTCCTCGCACATTCCTGCATGCTGGCAAATAGCTACCACAGCCAACGCCACCGCCACCACCATCACAACCACCCTCAGCCACTGTACCAACACCAGCTATTGCGGCAGCAGCAGCTGCGCTTGCAGCAGCCAATCTGGATGCCTCGTCGGCTCAACAACTAGCCCATATATTCCCGTCGCCCAAGACGGTTCTAGTGGGCCCACTGTGTGCTAATCTCTACACTCAAGAGCAGATGACATCGCCGACAGCATCGCGAAAACGACCCGCAGCCTGTGTGAACGAGACGGCCTCGGCGGTGTACGCGCCACTATTTTCAGCGCCCTCACTGCTTGCCTACGGTCCGCAACTTGACTCAACCGCCTATCAACTGGGTGCTCAGTCTCTTAGTGCAGTTAATTCATTGGTTGGTAGCAGTGCTCAGTTCTTTCACTCCCCTTCCCTGTCTCCATTCTTTTTCGCCTCCCTCCACTCACTCGCTCATTTTGGGCTTTCCTGCCTCTGTTTTTCTGTTGATGTGCTGTTTGTGATCGCCATGCACACTGCTCCTCAGCTTGTACACGCTGCATGCATACCGTTGCCTGCACGCGCTTTCAGCTGTCTCGCTACTCGGTTGTCTAACTTAATTCCTCATCCCCTCTCTCAGGGGAAGAGTTGGGCCTTATTGCAGTCTTGGAACGTAGGGAATTGGCGCTTTTTATCGTTGAAACAATTGGCATTCACCAGGTTGGATGTCATTGAAGGCTCAGGGTTTCACCGGTGGCCAGAATTTGACTAGGAGCCAAGGCTCTAGCCATTTAGATGAAGTCAAGATTTCAAAACTTGCGATAGGTTGGGCTCATTTACATCTTCATCACATTACATCTCGCTTTCAATAAGACTATTTTAAGGTCCTCTGCCATAATGCAGACAGCTTCGGCTACGTTTGGTGAATTATTATTTTTTTTTAAAGAAGCAGGTTAGTAGTTGCTCTCTCTTTTCCTGTATCGTTTACGCTTTTGGTAGTCTTGCATCGAGTAAACACACTAATTGAAAGCTTATTATAGATACTCCTTTAAAAGCCAATAGACTGGGCGTGGTCGTTCCTTTATATTGACATCTTTATTTCCACATTTAAAGTAAGTCGAGGGAAAACACATCTCGAAAAAGCTGCGAAGGGTCTAGTCCAACTTGCTTACATTTGATTGGTCGGACGTAGGGTCAGTGGCTGAATTTGGTACCTTAACAGGGAGTAGGCCTGTCGCCATACCTAACGCCGACTCAGCTGAATTCGATGGCAGCCGCAGCAGCGACAGCGGCGGCACTGAAGTCGGTACCACCGACGGTCTCGTTGGCCAATGGGGGTGGCGCGGGTGCTGGTGGATTGTCTGCGGCACATCTGGCGGTGATGGCAGCAGCCGCCACCGCCGCTGCTGCAGCGAACGCCTCAGCGGTCGCTCCATTGGCTGCTCCTGCCACTCCAGCAAAACGACCGGCGCTGGCAGACGCAAAATCGGGTCTACCGATGTTTGATTATGGACAGGGGCTCTATGCTCTGCAGACTCAGGCGCAAGCGCAGTTGGTGGGAGCCAAGAATCTTCAGCCACCACAGCCGCCATCACAGTCATCACAGCAATCTCCACAGAAGTCATCCGCTTCCACCTCTGTCGTCACCGCCGCCGTCAATGTCGGTGGTGTTGTGGCTCAGGAGAACGGTGTTGGTGGACAGGAGCATGGAGCTCCCAATGAGGTGGACACGCAGAAAGCTCAGGTCGCTGCCGTTGGACAATTCTATCCTGAAACGTGTGAGTCTATTCCGTGCTCCTGGTTCGGCCTTGGTTTCTGTCTTGGTGTTGAGTAGCTGATTAAGGTATCCTTACCTTTGGTGAGACTCGAAAGGAGTAGTAAATTCTGCATTGGCGTCAAACAGATTCTTACTTGTAGTCTAATTCATTTTTATTTAAATTCATTTTAGACATTGAAATTCCACCATACGGTTATCCATAGTTGTTCTTCTCCTTGTGCCATGCAAACAGACAAAAGAACTTGAAGACACCAAAACCAAAAATTAATCCAACTTTCAGTTGCCCTGACTAGTCTCTCCTCCCTTTCTCCCTTCTCCTATCACCACCACCACCACCAACACTACTAAAAGAACAAAAACAACAACTTTTGTCATTTTGCCCACACTGCTTGGTGTTTCTCCTCCCTCCCTGTTTGTCTGTGTGCCTTACAGCAATGCCAAATACAAACCCTCCGGCACTTAAATCTCCTTAGTAAAAAAATCCAACATTTTTTGTTTACCCTCTTCTTCTCACTTTCAGTTCTGTTCTTCTGTCAATAATAAGTTTTATAATGAGGTGTGCACACAAGTTTGACTACACACTTATGCATGATGTATTGACACATCACACTCTGTCCTCTAACCAAACACCTTCTTTTCGTCCTCACACTCTTGTATAGCCCGTCTCAGGTCTCCTCCCTGTGACCTGCACTATTTATAGCATCCACCGTTCCCTTCAATTTGATCAAGACTATTTTTTAAAGTCGATCCATTTTATCAGGAAGCAGACTTGACTCTAGTAGAAGCACACATACACACACACACACATCTACACCTCCATTTCATCCATCAGTCGATTTATGGAGCGCACGCCACCGGTTTTTTCTCTCCACCTTTTCCATCTCCTTCCCTTTTGATTAGGTTTTCTATCGACCGAACGGTCCTTTTTTGGTTTCTTGGTGTGTCAAAAAGGAATTTGGGAAGAGGTTCGCCTTTCATGTACACTCCCCTCCTTGCGATATGGAGAAACATATTGAAGCTTTTCCCCTTCCCTAATCCCTTCTCCCTCCCACCCCACCTTTCCCTTTTATTACATGACGAAAGTGTGTGTGTATGTTTAATGACTTAACACACAAAATGTGCCTCTTGTGTTACATTCATTAACTCATATATACAGGCGACAAATACAAAAAAAAGTGTGAATCCACACAAATCTTCCATCTGACTGTCACACTCCTGCCCCCCATCCTTCCTCCTCTCCGTGCGCCCTTATTTCTGTTACCCGCCAAATTTAAACTTTAAACAAAAATAAATAAAAAAAGAACGTTTGGAGATTGGCCACCATTGCTCGCAATTGGACTGGACGGCAGAGAAGTTGGACGTACTTATTATCTAGGGTGTTCTCTACTGCAGTCGCAGAGGGCAATCCACTACCAGAGCCTACGCAATATGTGTTCTGGTTAAAGCCGTGTGGTGTTAAAGAGGAGCTGGGATTCGAGTTTATTCAGCTGGTGAGGTCGAACACCCGGAAAGCTATACATAAGTCCTATTGGAGAGGAGCGGTTTTGTCCACACAGCCATGTCAGTGCAACCTGTGCAAGTCTGTGGCTTTCCACCCTCAGTAAGCTCATTAGAGAGGTGTCCATGTCGAATCAAACTGTAGGGTTTATTACGGAAATCAATAATGGGGAAGCTCTGGCTTAGGATTATGCGCCAATATGACTAAAACCGCCTGGAAGAATCCACTTTACCCTATTCCCGGCGTCTAATTACTTGGCGCGCGTTGGCTTTTAAAAATTACGGGCTTTGATGAATGACTGTGATCGTCTTTCCGGGAGGATGATTCGTCTCATGGTTGGCTGGATCGGGGATGCGTTCCCGTGGTCACAGGAATGGCCGCTGTGGATTGGAAATCTCTACGATGGGGATCAACACGGACGATCGTACTGGGGTCTTTGAAATTTGGAGCCCGGGCGATCCAGGACCCCATCGCACTATGCTTGAGGTTTGTTGTAGACGCTAGCATCAACGGGTATTACATCGTGCGGCGGAAAATTCATTCCTAATCAAGAGCTGTTGTTTGTGTGTACCACCACCCTTATACCTGGTAATTGAACTCCTTGCATTTAAACTCCCCTTGTATGCAACGGTCTGGCCTTATTACACCTCCGGGGATGACTTAAACGCTACGTTAGTGGATGTAGTACGTGAGTCTGGACCATGGGAACGATAGTTTTGGCTGAAAACCGTAACCACTCATTATGGGTTGTTTTGGGATTCGCTTCGGATCCTGGTAGGTAATCTGACTTTGGGATTTGCGGTATGAATTCTGTCAGGTGAGGGGCTTTAAAGCATCCAATTGTTGCGTGATGGTTGGAATGGAGGCGGGATCATGGGAAGGGCTAGGCCCATAGCAAGACGCTGTTTGCTGCTACCGTGTAGTTAACAGTAAAGGGGTTTAGACCCCAGTGGCCGAGTCATCAGGGTGCTGTGCCACATTGTGTTTTTAAAAAAGTCTTGGGATCAACAAATTGAATAATGATAATCCTAGAAACTCAGCCAAGGAAACGGGATATCTTGCTTGTGCTGAAGAATTTCGGCTAACACGCCTATTTGATGGAATATCCCATTTCCATTTTCTGAATGCAAAAGTGAAATTGTATACCCATAATTGCAATCTCCAACTAGTTTCTCTAATTAAAAGAATTGAATCCTTTCACAAACCTAGAAGCCATGTTCTGATAGGGTAAGACCATTGTGCTAGCAGGTGACCTCATGGGGAACTGGTGACTTATAATTTTATGATCGTTTGAATGTACGTTTTAGGAGATAAGCGGCCAAGATATTACAATCTAGTAGCTGAGGTACGTCAATGGCCCCTAAAAAGACAGCGAACTCGATATTAATAGAACCGCAACCCTCTGCGCCCATTTATTAACACTATGGGATCGAAGGTGTCATCATCCAATCAGTCTGCCTGTTTTAGGGTTATGAAGACGAAGGTGGGAGGAGGACAAAGAACTCGTTACACGATTGTTCTTGGGATAAGCTATTTTTGTACTCGAGTTCAATAAAAAGCTGTCTTGGCACTTTGTCGGTGGAATGAATGCGAAGTAGCCATCTTTTAATGAGGGAGCTTTACCAAGGTAAAATTACCACTGATATTACAAATATAGTAAATTAATGGGATTCATCGAACTCCATTGCAACTGATAAAGTTTTTGTAATGTTGTCTTCGATCAATTAAAAAACAATATTTTGCACAGCTCTTAAAACCTTATTCGCCTAGCAAAAATTAAATTTCAAATCTGCATTGACTTATTAAGGGTGAAATTTGTTTCTGGACCCCAAAGTCATTTGTTTTATTTTATAAATGAATCTTTAAGACCTGCCCTTTACGTTCATTGGCCCTACGTGCCTGAAGTGGAGTGGGGGTGTGCAAATAGCCGTTTTAGTCGCGTTGTGCTGTTGTTTAGGTTAGTATTGGATTCTTAATCTTTGTTTGGTGGCATTTGATCCGAGCATTATCCTAATTACTTAGCTCTACTCAATTAAAACCGCTGGGTACTGGGGAATGGGAGTCCCAGCTTTTTTTCGATGGCTCAGCCAGAAATATCCCTCAATCGTTGCTCATTGTGTTGAGAAACGGGGCCGCGTTATAGACGAGGAGGGCCACAGAGAGCCCGTAGATATTCTCGGACCTAATCCCAATGGCGAAGAGTTTGACAATCTTTACCTTGACATGAATGGCATAATTCATCCCTGCACCCACCCCGAAAACAAACCTCCACCCAAGACCGAAGCTGAGATGTTTGTAGCCATCTTTGAGCATATTGATCGCATATTTGCCATTGTTCGACCGCGTCGTCTGCTGTACATGGCTATTGATGGGGTCGCACCGCGCGCCAAGATGAATCAGCAACGTTCACGTCGTTTCCGAGCGGCCAAAGAGTCACACGACAAGGAATTGACAGTTGAACGTCTTCGTTCGGAGCTCATGGCCAAGGGTGCAAGATTGCCACCACCGAAAAGCGCTGCAGAACATTTTGACTCGAACTGTATCACCCCAGGCACACCATTTATGGAGAGGCTGGCGTTGGTTCTGCAGTACTACGTCTACGAACGTCTGAATTCGCATCCTGCTTGGCGTGAAATTCAGGTGATTTTGAGCGACTCAAATGCGCCGGGTGAGGGAGAGCACAAGATCATGGATTTTATTCGTCGTCAACGGCAGGCACCTACACACGACCCCAACACGCGTCACTGTCTGTGTGGCGCTGACGCAGATTTGATCATGTTGGGGTTAGCCACACACGAGCCGCATTTTACAATCATCAGGGAAGAGTTTAAACCTAACCAGCCGAAACCTTGCGATCTCTGTGGACAGTATGGCCATGACATGGAGGACTGTGTCGGTGCGCCCAGCGAAAATTTCGATCGACCCCCTCCGCCCCCTGGGACTGATATGGTATGTGCCTATTCCCTCAACACTCTGAAAAGCTGCTTATTGAAAGTAAATTTTATAAGAATACCTGCTCAGGTATTCGTTTATGGTTTTCACGAGTTGTCTTTGAGTCTTCACTATTGCAAGACTACCTTGTTGAATTGTTTGTAAGTTGTGCACTCGAATTCGTCGATGAAGGCTCAGCTTTGCTGTGAACATTATGTGGAACTCATGAGCTTGGAGGTCTTTATGAAGGGTTTATATGATCTAGTTTTCTTTGAGTGGCTAATTGTCCTTCGATTAGTAGTTGTTGATCCAAATGGATTTATTATTTGTAAATCAGGAAGATTTGTATCCTTGAGACTTTTTCAGGAGAAATTGGTTCCTTTTTTGAGATGTATCTATGTCTTTGGGGCACTACTTCAGCTAACTTATGCTACAATTTAAATGAGTTATTTCTTAGTACTTACACTGTTTGGGCCCTTGGTATTGGAGCTCGTTTTCCAAACCCTGATTGTATTGTAAAAGCAGACTGGAAGTAATTAATTCCATTTTTTGTTATTGGATGATTTCCTAAAATTCTTTTTAACTTAAACACATGACTCTGGTTCGTCAGCTTCATTTTCTTTCTGATTAGCTATTTTGGACCAGGAAGGGCACACAGTACCAATGAAAGGCTGATTCTTCATTTGTTCACTTTTGTCCGCTTTGTAGGAGTTTATATTCATCAAACTGGCCGTACTACGCCAGTATCTCGAGATGGAGCTACGAATGCCCAACCTGCCGTTCCAGTGGGACTTGGAACGTGCCATTGACGACTGGGTGTTCATGTGCTTCTTTGTGGGCAATGACTTTCTGCCTCATCTACCCAGTCTGGAGATCCGCGAGGGTGCCATTGATCGGCTGATTGACCTCTACAAGTTAGCGGTCTGTGACGTTGGTGGCTGGCTCACTGATTCTGGCCGTGTTAATCTTGATCGCGTTCAGGTAGGCAAATTTGCTGCCTGTAGTCAATTGAAGACGGTCGTCAGTCGTTTGTTTTGTTATCTTCTCCCCTTTGGATCTTAGATGTCCTCAATGGCTGTTCACAAACTAGATGCCTCGATTTGAATTACCTCATAAACGAACGTTTTTTAGTTGGCTTGTTCAACCCATTTCTCACTTACTATCAAGCACGGTGGGGATTTAAAAGATGCGGGTAGCCTTTACGGTGCGACCATTAGCAAACCCATTTCTTTCACGATGTAACATCTCATCGTCAGTGTTACTTTGTAGCGTTATTTCCCCTTTCTCCCAACAACAGCTGATAATGACAGAGTTGGGCAAAGTGGAGGATGAGATTTTCAAATCGCGTCGAGAGGAAGAGCTTGCTCTCCGAGAGCGACGTAAACGTCAGAAGCTCGGGGACGGTGGTCGGCACTACTGGGATGCACCCCTTTCAGGCATCCTCACACCTGCCCCAATCGGCGAGAAACCGCGTTTCGGTAGCGTCAATGCAAAGGAGATGCACGACGCCCGTCGCCATCGTCAACCGAATGTAAAGTGGGTGGAACAGTGTCTGCAGAACCAGGAGGCCGCAGTTTCGCTTCGTGCCATGCTCAAGTCCTCCACCTCTCCCCCTCCCTCCAGAAAGACTAAAGCCCCACCTTCGAACGATGAGGGTGAAGATGAAGGCGGCCCATCGTTACCGAAGAGACCGAGGAGGGGTCGTCTAGGTGGCGTTGACGCCTCAGTGATCAAAACGAGGCAGGTGGAGGAGGGTGCGGACGGTGAGACTTTGGATGAGGATGAGCGTGCGGATCGGTGTGATGAGGTGCGATTGTGGGAGGAGGGCTGGCGCACGCGCTACTACCAATCAAAGTTCGGTGTGGATCCTGCAGACGCACCCGAGTTCTGCATCAAGGTGGCGCATGAATATGTCATCGGGCTGTGCTGGGTTCTCGCCTACTACTATCAGGTGTGTCACTTATCTTCCTTGTGCTTCAAAGCAATCCCTTGCCTTTGGCTACATTCTTCAGTTCTTTTTCTAAGTCTAAAGTGCTTATTACTGCTCAAGAGTATTTCCTTTGTTACCTTAGCTCCAACTGATGAGAGCTGCGCAGGAGTTCTACGGTTAAATTAAATTATCCGGACTTCACTGTTTCAGTTTTGAATTTTCACTATGGCTCGCTGCAATGACTTAGCTTGTAATCACTTATGGAAAGCGCTCGTTTACCAGTGCTCAGTACTCCACAATTTTCCCCACTTTACGATCTGGACCTAGGTCTGTTCTAAGGATGCAGAAAGCAGCTTCTCGTCAAAGTTGTTATTATGACTTTTGGAGAAGGTGATCTATGACTTACCAGGAAGGTCCAGAAATTGTTTAAAAATTTGATCCCGACTAGGTCATGTGATTCTCAGAGGTCAAATTTCAGGGGGTAAATTGAGTGTGAAAACCATCAGGCACTGGCTCTTGGGTGGTGCAGGTCGTGGATGAATGATTAGTTCTAGTCGAGCGCTTTTCTTGTTTGTTTTTGTTAGGGAAAACCAGTGGTGTTGAGATTGATGTAGTAAGGTCCGAAGCTTTCGTGCTGGATTTGGAGGGAAAGGGATAGTTGGCCAAGGTTATGGTCTTTAACTGAAAATCATTGTGGTCGGTTTATGAATCAGCCTTGATTTAAAAAAAACTGTGGTCATGGTAAAAGGCTACTTTAGTAGAAAAGAGTGTTATTTTAATGAATATCTAATTCATTTAATTGATAACCGTAATCTTAACAGCAAAATTATTGGCCAAATGCTGTCTCTAACCCTTTCACATTTGCCTGGACAAATCCCGGGGCGGTGGCGTTTGCTGCAGCAGTCTACTTAGTAGTCGTTTCAGTAGCAATATGCAACAACCATTATCAGGTTTAGTAGAAGTGTGTAGTCCTGCTCTACTTACTTGGTATCAGTAGTATGGTACCACTCAGCTTCAAACTCTCAGGTGGCAGTGGTCAATTTGTTGCGATTATTTTTGATAGATTTCTCATTTCCTCAATCGCTTTAAAAATATTCCTGTTTGCACAGCTAGTGTACCTAATAGCTATTTTAGTAGTGACAGTAAGAGTTGAAGCGGTCACGTTAGGCTTTTTAATAACACCATACTTAGTGGCGAAGCCTGGAATGTTATCCGATGTAGTAGAAGTATCTGTAACAGTCTAAGTCATGCCGGGTCTGTTACAAATAAATGAACCGGTAAGTGTGGGGGGTTATGCACCTTAGAGCTGTCACAAACTCTACCTGTGACATTTTCATGCTTATTTGCTACTTCGACAGCATTGGCAAGTGAGGATGGCACCAAGATTAGCAATAATACTCGCCTACTTATTAGGCGACTTAGCAGCATTATTCATCTACGTAAGATCTATTGTGCTCTTTTACTACGTAGGGGTGTGCATCATGGGATTGGTATTATCCTTACCACTATGCACCCTTCGCAAGTGACTTTGTAAACGTGGTCTCGGTGGAGACGGGTTTCGCCAAGAAGCGTACCAAGCCCTTCCGACCCCTTGAGCAACTGATGGGCGTCTTTCCCGCGGCTTCGCGCAGCCATGTACCTCCGGCTTGGCAGGATCTTATGACCGATCCCGACTCCCCCATTATCGATTTTTATCCCACCGACTTCAAGGTAAGTTGTCGTCTTAACCTTTCACTTCGGTTTTTAACGTTAAAGGGTAGGAGTGCCCACACTGGTTGCCACCTTTTTCACATAACTTTATTCATTTACCCCCAAGTTCCTCGAGCTAGAAACCGCCGCCATTTCTACCTACATCCCTCTTGACAATTTAGACGATTTCTTATCCAACGATTGCACAGGTGATTGGCATTTGTGAAGTTCAGTCTCTGTAGAACATGGTCTTTCAGATTAAAGCGAGTCCGAATGAATGCGGGATAAAAGTGGATCATGTTGATTAAACTTTTCCCCATGCAGGTGGACTTGAACGGCAAACGATATCTGTGGATGGGCGTGGCACTGTTGCCCTTTGTTGACGAAGTGCGTTTGCTGAAGGCATTGGACGAGCGTCGCGGTCAGCTCACTGATGAGGAGCGTCACCGAAATCTACGCCGTCCCGGACTCTACTTCGTACACGCCGACACACCCATCGGTCAGACAATCACCGCTCTCTACGACCCCTCATCAGTTGAGCTGGCGGCAGAGAGGGTGAAGAAGTTGAAAGGAAGCAGTGGTGGTGAGTACGATGGCATCGCTCCGCCTGAGGCAACGCTGATCAATGCCGCGCTGACGCAGGGCATCGCAGGTCACGTGTGGCCGGACCGCAAAGGAGTCTGCCTTCCCGGCCGCCGGATGCCCTCTGGGGTGCCCGGCCTTCTGCCCGACATCCCAGCGGTCCAACAGCATGCTGTCTCAGCGTACTTCGAGAATCCACCCTACCCCTTCGGATATGTCTTTCCCACCCGTCTACTGGACTCGGTAAGTTTCTGCCATTTCCAAACTCACGCATTCTGGGTCCATTTATACGCTTCCCAATCCTTCCATCCATCCGCATGTTTTGGACACGACTCTATTTCATTTTTTAGCCGTCGTTTGACGGCACATACATTAAGGATCAGGTGATTCTCAATTTTTATCGCCTTTTCCGTTTAAAATTCGGAATCTCGCATTTTTTCACCCGAGCAATTCGCGCCGAGATTGCAGCGAAAAAGCCTGTAGAGCATAAGGAAGACAGCGGATGCATGAACCGTTAATCTGAGAGCAAAGAAATGGGAAATCTTTGATACCCTTCTTTCTTGGGTGGTTTGAATTAGTTTTATCTGGTGACTGCCACTGTTGAAAAGCTGTCTGTCGCTTTTTCGCAATAGGTCAAAATGCCACCCAGGTGTCAGCTCCTGCCCCCAACAAGTCGAGGTCGTGGGCGTGGTCGTGGAGGCCGGAGTATCAACGGAGGCAATCCGCGTTTCGACGGTTTCTCTAATGGGAATAACAATGCCTGGGGCGGAGGCACCTCGTGGCGGGCTGATCAGACACCGGCAGAACGCATGATTCATCGGGCGCTGCCGGATTGTAACGAGTTCTACGCACCAAGGCAAAGGCTTAACCCCACACAACGCTTCCACCCCTACGACCGACAGCAGCAGCATCAGAGGGCTCCCACCTACCCGCCTGCCTATCCGCCACCATCCTTGATGGGTCCTTTTGCGAACCCCTACACCGCGTATCCGCACCCCGACGATGAGTTGGACTGGAATCGTCGTGGCGGCAGCCGTAGCGGTAGACCGCCATCGTATCGTGGCGGCAGCGGAGGTTGGCAGTCGAGATGGGGCTACTATCGCTGGTAGCAATGATGATTGAGCTGCTGCATATTCAATTTTTCACACGTGCAGCCCCTTTGTAACTGTACATTTGAATTATGCACAGATTTTGACCTGTCTAGTGTGTGTATGTGTGTGTGTGGATAGCTTGTTTTCCTCAAGAGCATTTAAGAGATGGGAAATATCCCTCGCTAAGTGTCTTTTTAAATTGATGCGATTGATGAACCAGTTGGTTAAAGCGTCATTGAAGTGATTTCAAAATAAAGGTGACCTCGGGAAATGAGGCACGTCATCACTGAGACAGAGGGACGAAGTTGTGCGGTCTCTGGTATGACCCACTTGCAAAGCGCGAATGCATGTTAGTCTGTCAGTTCTCCGTGCTGTTTCTCATTCTTTCGAATCCGCATTTTGAACGTTGGTTTAGTTTGGTGGAAACGATTGGACCTTGAACTCCGTCCCAAGGTTGCGCAAGCTCCCTCTTCAATTTGTCGCCTCGGTCTTCGGATGAGGAGCGACAGCAAAAAGTACCGTCAAGAGTACCCCGATTGAATAGTTTGATTTCTAGCGACAAATCGTTGAAGGGTGATTGTGTTACGTTCAGGGTGACCTTTATCCTTGATGACACCGAATTACGGTTCACTTGCTACTGGAAGGATCTACGCTTTGATGTGGCAAATACCTGTTTCCTCATCTCCAGTTTGGATCTTTTCCTGATAGCTCATGGCACTAGACAATTGTAAATGAAGTGGAAGTTATTGCGGTTCATAAAGGTGGTATTCATAAGCTTACGTCTTGTTGAAAAAAAGTACTTGTGCGGCGTAGTGATCAAAACTGTTGAGTGCTTCTCCCCTGCATAATAACCTTCAGCCTTAATTTGCCACCATATATTCTTTAATAGCTCAAGTAATAAATGGATTCTTATTTGAAAAGAGAGAAATGATTGCCGATCCCATGAAGGGAGTTCAAAGGTCGCATTGGTGGTCAGGGCGTGTGTGCTTAGAAAATGAGTCCGGTCGTCACAACGCGGATGGCAGACCGCTTCGAAACAACTGGGAATTCGCTAAGTCAACACAGTAGCCTCGTCTTCAAGCTTGAATGTGAGTACTGCAGCTTTGTCTATCACGCCGTTCTACATGTGAACGTGCTGTGTGCGTTTATTAGCTTCATAAAATCACCGTTAAAAGACGAATTTGCGTAGATAAATTGCAAATCGGGATGGGTCATAAGCACCAATTATATTCACATGGAGGTTAGAGCAATCGATTCTGGATAAGAGTTGTATCTCCTGGTTATCTCCACCATAACTGCCTTCAGCGTTGCATGACTGTTCACGAAGTTGACGCCAGTTTAGGTCCGTTTGTCCTAAACTAGCAACGTTAACAATGTTTAGACGCTGTTGGGAGGTGTCTTTTTAATGTGCTCTCCTTGTTTTCAGCTCTGCTGGATCCCAACGATAGTAGCGGGTTAGGAAGTCCCTCTTCCCGTCTCTCAGTGAGTTGAACAAGTATTCCCTTCTCTATTCTTTATTTTCGCGCCTCTCAGGCAAGTGTCGTTGGTTCGGGCTCCCTCCTCACCCTATTTATCGCTTTTAGTGGCCCAACAAATTTCGAAGACGATGCTTACTGCTCTTCCTTTCATGCTGTGCGCACAGTATTAGAGTAGATTAAACCTTTATGACTTATTCTCCTGTCTACTACAATACTTGCACTTCCTGTTAAATTAGGTTATTGGTAATACTCTTACTATTGTTCTTGCGTATTGGTTTGGTAGAATCACAACTAAGGTCTGGGGCCGCTCTGCTCTAAAAATCGTGCTCACATTTCGTCAGTCCTTCCATACAAATATGTGCATTTAAACAAGAAGTAGGGTTCAAAATGTCTTGTCCACCTAATCCAGTAAGAGAGGTAGTGTGTGGACACATCTAGCAGAAATTTTCACTTACAATAATGACTTGATACGCCGTTTCGGAAGTTACATTCCACTATATTTCACTAGGTTTTCTACGACAAAACCAAAAATTACTTCACTTGAACTCTACTTGTGCAACATTTTAAGGATTCGAGAAAAACAATCGCGCAGTTTAAGAAACTCCCCGAATATTAGGCCTTGGTAACTTAACAAAACATGCATGATTTCACATCAATGATAAAATAAACAACTTAAAGACAGCATCTAGAAATGCGAAATAAGACACAAGGAAAGCTTATCTATCTACTTGTTTCACTGTCACTCTTTGTTAAAACTTATCATTTAGGAGCTACGTAATATGGTAAGGGCAATCCTTTATCGCTCTGATAACACGTCTTTGTAGAAGAAAGTATTTGCCTGCCTTCCTATGGTATCCTGTGCTTATTCATAAGGAGCTTTGACACAAAATTTAAAAGGTATGCAGAATCAACTGTACGATAGCTAACAGTGAAGTGTTTTCCACAGGAATGCCATTTGACTTTATATTATGTGTTGTCATGTCTACGAAACATGCCTAATGTACTTACATTACTGGTGTTTTTATCTTTTATGAAATGCGTCTTTTGAGGTTTTTTTCTTCGAGCTCGTGATCACCACTATGTTAGTTTTGATGTGTATCTCAATGCATATGTTAATAAAATTCAACGCTATAAAAAATATAATTGCACTTTTTCCCAGTTTTTAAGCGTTTAGGCATAGAAAGGTACTAAAGGTGCAGGTTTGCCGGCATTTGGATCAATCATACAATTAAGTGATTGTTACATTGAGTTTCTGATCCAATTATTTGCAACATTTAATTGTATTAAGCAGCCTTCTTGTGTTTTGTCTCCCATGTATGAAATATAGTTTCTTAACATATGCCACGCGCAAAAGCGTCCCGCTATTTTTCTAACAAATAATGGTAACCATGCAGATTATTTACCACTTCTTAGACTAGAATATTATCGACCATTGCAAAAGAAGGGCACATTACTTATTGCTACCAAACCTAAATGAGACACACAAGAACCACGACGAAAAGGTGAAATACATTGTACTAAAGGTGACGGTGCCACGAATAGCATATCTCGAATGACAAGGAATGCCATTTGTTGTTCTCTGCTTTAAGGGCTGGAAATCCAGTGCTTTGAGTACGTTCGGCAGTTGGTGTTTACTTCAGAATTCGCATAGCTTTAGCGAATAAGTAGGATTATTGTGAACCCTTACCACAAGGAATGTAAACCAATTTGTAGCAGTTTGCTCGCATGTTTACTTTGAAGGCAAATAACAAAAAGGATGCCACACCTTTTACTGTTTTCATTACAAATCAGATGGCTTTATACGTACGGCCATTTTGATTAATGATTGGAAGTGAAATCGCGTAAAAGCCTCACAGATATCCTTTTAAGGGAGTGTAGATAGTCAAAGAGAATATTAACCCTAATAATAGTACTTATATGACTGAAACGGTCTAAGTTACATTACATGAAACTATTTTGAATTAGCGAATTTCTCAAAGTAGAAAGATCTTCTCCAAGTGTTTAGTTTGAGTTGATCTATGCATTAGAACAGATGAAAACAACTGAAGATGACGAATCCTACGGTCCATCAGGTGCGAAGTGGTTGGAGCCCTGCCAGATTGGTAAGCTGTCTATCTGTTTTATGCGGTCAGCCGTCAATGCAATAGCAGAGTGAAAGCACGATATTATTAGTCAACGTGGACTTCCTGACTTTTAATCGGAGACTTCGTCAGGTCAATTCAGTCGAGAAATGTAGTAGGTGTCAATCCGGCCTGTAGATATCCGGAACAAACCCACGTGTTTTATCACGTTTGAAGTGATCCACCTTGAAATGGAAGAGCTCGACCCATCAACTGATAGACTCTTATTTGCATTGTTGGTCTAGTAAAGTGAAAGTTTAAAATGCCAGCATTTAAAATGCCTGTGTCACAAAACATGGATTTACACTGGTCTATCCTCGCTCTTGTTCGTGGTTTACAATGCGTCCCATTACACTGGATTATCATACTGTCAAATCTCAGACGTCATTCAAGCGTGTCTGCTTTACGAGCCAAGTTTAGCTCAGTTCCAAAGCTGTAGAAGTGCTCCTCATAATATTCGCTACATGGAAAACGGAGTGTAATGACAAAGTGCACCGTACAGAAATACTCTAAACGATTCATTTGTGATAATAACAAGGATAGGCGCCATGTCACATTCAGGTGGAAGGAAATTCCACTCTACATGGTGAATACTTGTGCGTGATCAATGTAAATGGTGGATAGAAATTAATGTGTATAGAACGATTTGTAGAAAAACCTAATGTGAATTTATCGCAATCACCAGCCGAGCTAGTCTCCGTTCTTCGTAGCTCAAATTGCACCTCAGCCTACGACAGTCACCCAAACTGCGCAAAAAAGTTCCCGAAAATCAGCATAAACCGGAACAGTCATCCGTATAAACACTAATATTGCTTCTACAAATACATGGAAATGGGTCCAAAGGAGAAGTTGATATATGATCACGTTTCTTCAAAAATGCCAAGATGAAATGTTTAAATTCAGAAACACCATGTAAATTGCTAGAGAGAAAAGGTTACACTTTACCAATCTCAAAAATCAAGTGCAAATACTTCATCACAAGGGTATTTTTGGACAAGAAGGGAAATACAACATTGTTCAATTGTAAAAACGATACAATCAGAGGGAGAAATCATAGATGCTAAGATCACCAAATGCGACAGATTTGCAGGTAATCACTATTCCAGGGCAGAAAGCAACATCATCTGTTTTAATACCTTTGTCTGGCTAGTCTCTCTTATCTCACCGGCGAGAAACATTTCGTCAACAACGGTGTACACTTTGTAGAAATTGAAAACGAGATCCAGTTCACAGACGTTGTGGAACAGCTCATTAAGCACCTCTACGAAGTTGTGAATAGCCTCAAGGTGCGCAAGGCTATTATCCATTATGTCGATGCATATGCAAAAGTAAAGACCGGCATAACGTCTGTAAACAATTTTGAAGTTTCTAAATTCAACAAAGTTGGTATGCTTGACGTCACGCACGGTAACAAGAGCATGGACCTCCTCTATCAGTTTTTGTTTTTCGGTATCTGCCAAATTCATGTACCATTTTGCGAGACGGGTCTTCCCAGCTCGATTTTGTATAAGAATAAACCTAATCATAATCCTAGCAACACTACAACGTGGTGATTGGTCAGCTGCATGTATTTAAGAGTACTACTGCTTATTCGGAAGAGTTAAACCATTTCATATACCAAAACTTTAGGGTGCATATTTAATAAAATGGCATATTAAACAAATTTAAACCCACTTAACGGCTACCATGGCAAATCTGAAATCAATTTTATGCTTTATACACAAAGTTGTCATCGCATCATTAAATATTTTGTTACCTTACGGGGACGTTTCAGTCTCTGTCATTAAGAACCAAATTACTAATAATTATTTGCAAGGATAGAGTTCTGGTTTCCAGTAGTTACTTGGCGAATATTTAATTTCGGCTAAAGGCACGCTATATTGAACGGATGGCTCCCAGCCTGTATTATTGTAGCAGTTTCCTGCTCTGCTTAACTTTGCGAACTTTTCAACTCTAATACGTTATGTTTCCTACAGTTCATGAGCATACCTATCCACCCCATCTAAGCGCAAATACTAGATTTATTGACCTAGTGGGACGAAATCGCAGAACGTAAAGTGAGATCAAAGTAGTGGATAGTGATGAGTAGAATACAGCTTTGGAGCAGTGTAAATACATTAACCTAGTGACACCCCTTACATAAGCTTGCATTTTAGTATCTTTAGCGTGTTTTGGAATGAAGTTGGCAGGATACGGGTGCTGAGTGGACGGTCCCCAAAAGTCTAATTGGACAAGGTCGTGCAGAATTAACTTATTGGTCAGGGCAACAGTCATTACGAAAGTTCTTTGTCTTCTTAAATTTGAAATAAACAAGCAAACACGTACGTCTGCTGTGGTAAGACAGAACAGCAAGCTTGATCACCAGCTAAATCCATGCAATTTCTGATGTGGAAGTTAACCGCTGAGAGTGCTTATCTTGGTCGAAGGCATCGGGTTTCAAGCCCCCAAAGAAGGGGATGACGAATAGCTTCTCCAGTCACCAAAGAATATGCTTGAAATTGAGGCATTAATAATCAATTTTGAAGCACTAGACCGTGTCATAGAATGCGAACGCATCGCGGGCTGTTTGGGCCTGCGCTTGAGGAGTGGACGACCACCGACAGTAGTTCTGGCCACGTCAAACCGCTGATCTTCACTCTTGAAGTTGGTTGTGGTGATGGCGGTGGGTAGAATGTAAGACATGGCCACATCAACAGACTTGTTTAGTGAGTTGAAGACTGTCATCACCAATGCGAGATGGTACTCACATGAAGACGTGTGAATTGCCACTATCAAACACATAATTAAAAACGATAGCTTGAATAAAATCCCACGCTTATGAGGCTCACAAATGAGCATTCAACTGCCATAGAACTATATCAGTTTAGATTGATGAATTGACCACGTAGATCTCCCCAATCTGCCGCGATGAGTTGGCACGAAATCATGTTCACATCTCTCAGGCCTTCCGTGCCCCGAAACAAAATGTTTTCCAGACTCGTGCGCTTTCTGAAGTCTTTACAGTAAAAAGTTGTGTTGGCAGATCCATCCTATTCTGAACGCGGTCACTGTTTTCGGTGAGTAGCAGGTCATCTGCTATAGGTGGCTAGAATTAAAAGGTCCTCTTAAATCCCAAGATCCGCAACAACAAACATTAATAGGACAGGACCACTTTAACTAATGCTAGGAATGTTAGGCTTCGTGGTTACGACATAAGAGTAAAACACTGCGCAATCCTCTTCTCCTGAATATGGCATTTGTCCCACAGAATTGATAGATACTGATGTTTATTTGCATGAGCACCGCCACTACTAAGGTCGCAGCTAGAGTAACCGTGGGAAACTGAAGTCTTTACTGTTGACGTGTGGGAAGGAGGTTTGGGACGGTCACCATGCTCACATGATTATAGGCACACTCAGGGTTCGCCTCTGCGTCGTATCAACCGATAAAACAAAGTCAAAGAGAGTGTCAATCAAAGAAATGTGGTAGAATGTCCAGTTATTCAAGTTTCGGATAGAAACTGCTAGAAGGCTAAAAGCCGACTGTTTTACTCGGCAGACATCCCCAGTGGGAACAAGCCCGCTCTTATAAACTACTTCCCAATCGATCCCTCCTCTGATGGAGCTCAATTGCCAGCCCTTCTTGAATGATATGGCTTAAACCGACTTCAATTTTAACTCGACAATTGGACACAATTAGCAATAAGAACAATAGAAACATGAATACATACATCAATTTTTACATACTAGGAGACTGGTTAACATCCTTAATTTTGGCCACCGCCAATCCAGCCAGTTTATTGGCCGGAATAAGACGGTGGCAGGGATCGAACACGCGCTCTTCAGAGGTACTCCGCTCCACACCTTTTCGCTCCTCCTGCGTCTGCTTCGCCTTCCTCTTCTTATTCTTCGATCTAGCCATATTCTGAGCGGTGCCACCGCCTCCGTCCCTCTCCTCGCGCCGTCGTTTCTTCTGTTGATGGCACTTCTTTCGACGACTAGGAAAAGGCGTTTCTGTAGCAGGAATTTCTTGTTCAGCCATAGGAATGACTGAAACCGCCTCTGGACCACCGGTTTCGACCAACTTTTGACGGGAGAGTAGTATCACCATAGCGGGTTTGTTCTGCAATACAGAAGAAGAGGTCAAAACAGGTGAAGTGAAGTGATAGCCGAATGAAGTAGTGCTACTTCCAAACGCAGTTTACCAAACAGAAGCCATAATATGCAGGATGTGCATCGCCACCATTGTGATGCAAGGTAATCTTTGTTTCACTGTCCTGGTAGGTTTTAAATGAATGTAAGATTTGTAATACCCGAAGCAGAAGAGAGATTGCAGAGTGAAATGGGGCTCTTAAATCCCCCAACGTTCAAAGCCACACTGGTGACGGATACTCTAATCGCATTATCTAAGCTTCCATTCTGTTTTATAACAATTTAGGGAGTAACTTCGACGAAATAAGCACTCAAGTGAAACGGAGACTAATGCCTGTTCCTTAGCGTAGTCCACTTAAGATGACTTTAAGGAAGAAGATGATGAATTTAATAGAAAAAGCAAAAAAATCACCAATATCCACTAGGAAACTATTAGACCAACGCTTTGTCCTACCACAAATACACTTGTGAGTGAATAAATTAGCCAACGAGAAGTATGTCGAGAAAAATTGGAATTATCCAATAAATTCTATTAATATCGCTAAAAATCCTCTAAATTTGAATTCATGCAGTATCCTCAGAGTCCAGATACGACTAAATATTAATTACGTAAGGGAAACAGAATTGTAAGCCATAATGTTACAAATCCCACAAATAGGAGTAGACTAGTTCTTCGCTCTGGATCCCCTACTGAAGACCAGACAGCTACAACTAAGATCCTCCTACTCGATACGATATAACCCGAGGGTAATGGGGGGAAAATCTTTTCTTTTTACAAACGGGTGAGCGTTGTCGATCCGACGGCAGAAAATTCCATCCTTGGTCACACAAAATTTAGCTGTGAGACGTCCTGCACTTCAAAAGGGATAGGAGGGAGGAAGATGCTGCCTCATCCTCATGGTCTCTACTCGCTGGACTATTATCTTGGTGGTAAAATATCATTTAAAAGGTTAGGTACCAGGGAAACAAAAGTGAGGCAGAAATGGAAGGTGGCTAACACTCGGTTTTCTGCTTCTTGACTAAAGGCGTTCTACGAAGTAGGATCACAAGCTTGTGCCTTACTGGGAAAGAACAATAAAACGTATTTTGACGAAGATACAAAACTGTCATATAGTTGTGCAAAACCAACATTTTATCGGCCACACCAGACCTGGAGGACAAGATCAAAAAAATAATAATTTACAAGCAGATACTGACGCAAAAGAAAGTTGCATAAAAGTACTTTTAAGGAAAAACCTTTATGCTGCAAATATCAGATGCCTCGGTCCATTATATTGCTAACTAATAACTGATTAAAAAACAGCCCATTTACTGCAACTTTCAATATGTTATCTTGAATATTTACTGAGTTGTTTGCTCAAAAAGTTGGAGTCTAAAAATTTATTTGATAAAGAAGTACAGATTCCAGACGAAAATTAGTACCATAAATGAGTTCAGTGTAATGAAAAAATTACAAAGAAACAAGTCTGACTTCGAATGCCCCAAATTGTGAAAGAAAAGGATCTCAGTACTTGAATAATACAAATGTGAATTGGCAGTAGATGTGTAGTGCGACAAACAAGATTGCAATAGCAACTCACCGCCTTAACTAAGTAATTCTCAATTTTCATTTCGATGGGATGAAAAAAGAGTCGAGTGCATTGGTAGAGACTAGGAGAGTCGGAGGAGGTTGCAAACTTGGCAAGCCAAATACTCTTGACTTTCTCCGCAAAAGGAACAACTTTTTCAATAGCCCTCGGCAAGCCCCAACAAAATATTTGATCACAGTCACCGTTTTCAAGCCTCTTTGAAACATACTCAGTCAGGTTCTTTATTTTCGTGCCGGCTTTGACTTGCATGTGAATTGCATTGTCTCTGAGATACCCACGCACTTGTGACTCATCAAGTAGTGAGGAGAGTAGGGAAGGATCCATTGTAGTTTTGTCTAAACATCAAAAAATCTGATTAGGTCAAGTGATTCAGAGCCGATTGAGAAATGCTTGTATTAATTCCTTAATAATGATGTCTGGGACTAGTATGACTTAGAACCGGCCAGAAGGACCACGGTAACATTGTACCACCAACGTCTGACATTGACTTTAAGAACGCCCCACAAAAAAACACATATTTAGTAACTGCATGAACCAAGATAGTCAATAATATGTATATTTGGCGATGGATCAAGAGAAGCACACCAACACCGACGATACATAGTCCTTCAAAAAACAACAAAAGTTACCTTAGAAGTCCACACTTAATCCTTTACTAAAAGCGGACGAAGAATCTACACTATTACCTAGCAACACAGCACATTGAACACACGTGCAATTAATGAACATTTAGGTTCATGGAGTCGATTGACCTTAAACTATACTAAATCATTAACTAAAACTTACTATAGTTCAAATAACTGTAGAAGCAATAAAATTAAAGTTCAGATATTGTGATTTTCTTTGCAAACGAAACAATTAAAAGTGTTGATGGGCCGCTTCAAGCATTCAAAGCCTCGGAAGTGATTAGTGAATGGGGGTTACCAAATATTCACATAGTAATTTCCCAAAGTATTGCTAGCTAAACGATAAAGATTCATTAGGTTTTATATTAATTGCGACAAACTATACTGTTTAGTGCGAAAATGTAGTAGATATCAACAAGATTTTAATTGGGCTCAGGTGTAGGTTCCCGGGGCATAGAGCATCGTAGCGGCAGGGAAGAAAAGCCATTGCTAGAATTGGAAAGATCTGAGAAGCTACAAAGTGGCTGTATACTGTGATTCTCCCAAAGGTTGATTTTCTGCCCCTTTTAGGCCAATTTCATTCACGAGCTCTAAGTACTTGCAGAATATAAGCGAGGTGCACATGCTAAATTTACATTCTAGAAGTGCGGTCTATTGTCAAGAGTGCATATTTTGAGCTCGGTTGGCAACTTAATTTTGCTACAGAACCTCTATAAAAGTAAAACTTTCACCTAATCGACTAGTCTGGCAGTTTCTGAAGAAGTCTATCTTCTTTAGCTTCTGAAAACTCTTATGAATTTGTTCACAGGATGGATTTGAAATCAGCATTAGGGGATGCAGAAGTACTCTCGTTAATGATGAATAAAGGGGATTCAAAGAGTTTAAAAGTTTTTCATGCCGGCTAATTACTCAAAAAGCCCTAAAAAGAGTTTGGAGTAGGTGAAATGGAATAAAAGAGAAGGGACTTGACACTGATATAGTAAAGTAGAAGATGCCGTTTGTTCCACTCGAGTGAATAATAAAAGTACCTTGAGGTTGATTGAGTCCCCTTTTCTTTAGCCTAACATAACTAACCCTGCTAGGGTCAAATGAGTCGTCAACACTTGTGGCCCTCACATCTTTGCCTCATCTGTTTATAATTTGTATGTTATGCGGTCACCTAACGACCACGACCCAGTTTGTACTAGTAGGTTTCGTTCTTTAACAAAGACTTACTTACCTATCTTCATCGGGCCACTATCAATATCAAAAATATGTGCCATTTGGTCTGTTGGGGCTGCAGGCCTCCCAGCATGTGCTAGTGTTTACCGTTCCTTCCTTCACTCACTCACTCATTCATTCATTTACCTGTCTCTCTGTCTATTCACTTACCTCTCTCTCCGTCTATCTGTCTGTATATCTACTTATTGTTCAGTTATTCTGTTGTCCTTACCCTCCACCTTGTCACACATTGTTTGTGACCTCCAACCCCCTCTGTACGTTAATAACAAATCTCCTTATTTGTCCATCTGGCATCTCTACAATTGATTACTACCATCTTTCCATTCCATGGGTAGCTATGTTGTTTCACAGCTCTGAGAGACACAACGTTGTATAATCGTTCGGGATGACAGTCCACCTTCTTCCCTGTGTGACGCTGACAACCAACAAGTACATGTTAAGGTCACACCACTACAATTACTCAATTGAATTGCCAAAATGCATCACCAAATTTTTCTAAGATTAAAATCTTCCACCTTTTATACATGCTCCAGCCTTTAACGATCCTGTTGGAAGTATAGAAGTCCGGAACCAGTTATGTATACTTTTCACTTATCCCATCTCTTCCCTTTTATCGGTAAAAACCACCTACTTTAAGGTGCCGCTATTTGTAAAAGCTTCTTACAGTCTCGTACCTGCTTGACATCGTGCACTGACAAGTTCGTTTAAAGTACAAAATTTATAGCACTCTTGTTACAAACTGAGGTAAAATTTCACCAGCAGCAATTTTAATTGCACCAGAGAGTCACAATAAAATGCTGACAGGAAAACACATCTGCTAATATGACAAGGAGTTTAAAGTTGTAACTAGTGTAGGACGAGATTTCTCCCAGAAAAAGGGGAACGGAACATTAGTGTTTGTTTAACTCCTCGTTTTGGTCACGCGGGCATCTAAGACTACGCCGTTGTACGTCCGCTGGGTAGGTTGGCCTCTGGGCCGTGCCAGTAGCCCCTCAGACCTTCCAAGTATTATTGACTTCTTTCGACGTCGAAGAAGTCTCAGGGCGCTATAATCAACAAAAGTCTACTTTGCCTGAGGAAAACACCCTCAAAAAATTTGAACTTTTGGCATAATTTAGCTGCATCCTTGTAGTGGGAAGTGATTCTGTTATGGCGGATGCATTGTTATTCGCATTGGTTCTTCATGCCATTGGAGATCTTCTTTCGATAAATGATGGAAAAAATCAGCAAAAGTCACCAACTATAAGGTCTCGGCTTTCCTATGTTAACCATTTAATGCTAAAAGCTGTCAGACAACTTCTGCTACATAGAAGACTGTTGATTGGGAGATCTCAGATGATCGAAGTGGGAGAGCACAGGACGGTCAGCCCAGATACGGATTCCTGAACTCCCCATCCAGCGTAATTGAAGCTTAAATGATCGCTTCCGGGGGGGACAATTAACATAATGTGAGGCATGAGCCATAAATTTATTTGGCAAGGACATCTCATAGTGTCCAAGGGATATTGGGAGAGTTGACCTATAACCTCAGACAATTTTGGTGATGCATTTTGGCAATTAGACTGAGTAAATATACTTGTGTGGCCTTGGCACCTAGGCTTCGGTTGTCAACGTCACAAAAGTGGGAAGGAGGGCTGTTATCCAGAATGATTGGCCTCAAGGTGACGGTGATTTCCACCCTTGCAGAAGGTTTTGCTTCTCAGAGCTGAGGGGAGACAACAAAGCTGTATTTAGCTGAGTTTGTATCTGTCGAATGCCATGCCAAGAGAAGGTGGCAGGTGGAGGAAAGCAGAGAATGAATATGTGGCAGTATCGACATCTACTCTCCCGTTCCTCTTCATTCCCCACCATTAAATATAGCACATCCCCTCGTGGGGCATACCTCGACTTGTAAGACTATCAGTAGGACCTACTTCCAGCTGACCACTAGTCCCAACTTCCTCTTGATAGCAACTTTCTCTTCTACTCCTTCCGGTTATGTCGTTTCCTATCGCATAGCATTGTATCGAGCAGATGGGTTTCAGTCCTATTTGTGATTTGGGCTTCGGCAGGTGAGCAAGGTGGTAGTGAATAATTACATCTGCACTGAATCTCATGCACGCATAGTCTTATTGGTTTGATGGTGGAGGTGATGGAGATGTGGATGAAGGTGGAATGAAGTGGTGATTGTCTCGGAAACGCGGAGTGTGGAATGAAGTTGATGGTGGAGTGAGTTAAGACACATCAGTCAGTTGGTCATGCATTCTGCAAGTCAGCAAATAACCTCAAATCCGTCCCTTCATAGAGGGCAGAATAACTTGTCTCCACCTGACAGACGTGGAACTCACCCAATTCCTCCACTTTCCCGTCCTACTTGGTGCAAGCATGAACCAGTTGTTTCATCACTCACGCCAAACAGCACAGAACGTTGTCCCCTCCTCAAAATTATACGACCACCAAATTGGAGGATTATGTATTCATCCCAACTACTCAAACTCTTGAAGTCCCACTCAAATGGAGTATTCCGTTAAGCCACCTCCTCCAAATGGTGAATAAAAATTTAACGAGAAGATAATCTCTGCCGTCCTAGGACCGATTTTTTACTAGATAGGAATACAGACTGACTTAAATCATATTGATGGGGCAAGTTCATCCGAAACGTAATGATGAGAGTGAGTTTGTAAGAGCGTAAAAACACAGTACCAATAGACGGACGCAGTTTAGTCTCTAGTTTATAATTTGAACGCATAAACGATCGCAGGCCTTTCAGGGGTCATTGGACCGAACCGGATCTGAAACCCCGCGCAGTATATACGTGGGGCTGTTTGTGTCAAAAGGTGTCGCCTTAATCAGTGTGAATTGAATGACCAGTTTCTGTGTCCCCACCAACTACATTTTAAATGTCGTGGTTCCGCTTGGATGTACTCCCGTCTTGTCGAAAATACACGCACTAATCCGGGGCTTCAACCACTCCATCATACGTGTACAGTACCCGGGGCCTTAACTTTCTTGTATCAAACCATGGAATCGACAGAGATATCGAAAGGCAGAAAAGGTGAAAAGAAGAATAATGAGCTAAAAAGAGGAAGAGGTGTGACAAAGTTAGGGGAGGGACCTAACAGAGTTGAAAGAAGAGGAGAGCCGGGGGAATCAGTGATGATGAGAGCAGACGTATCACAATTTGGAGTAGCTGTGAGCCGGTGAAGGAAACAGAGGGTGCATTCGATGGTTTTACCAACAATCGAACAATGCTGCTGAATAGAAGCCCCTTAACTAACTAGCGGTCGTAATAGAGGAGCCGAGAGTAACCTACTTGGCACACCTCAGAGACTGACATTCTCGGTGGGATCCGATGAAGTTTAACGTAACATTCTCGGATGCTTTAAGCTCCAATCAGAAGGTGGAAATGAAGATAAAAGCACAGCAAGACATTTACGGCTTGCCATTTTCACTTCAATCACATCAACGCGTAAATGACAGTCGTCACTTTACACACCCCCATTAAACACCTATTTGAAGCTTGGCATGCGCGCGCTTCCTAATCACGTGAGGATGTGTGACGTTTTTCGGGCTTTGAACACTTTTAACTTCCCATTCTTATTTTTTTAAGTCGAAAAATCGAGTAACTAATACCCACTTTGTAACAGGTTTAAAGGCTTGTGAATACTACTTATTAGTTTTTCTTAGTAGCAAGAGCAAATCGAGAACTAAGTGCATTTCATATGGGGCCATATTTAATGCCCTTGTTGGGGTTGGGTTTGTCTTCCACCTTTAACTTCTTGTTGGCAATGTTATCTTCAAATGTCGACTTTAAAGTATGATTTGTTGGAAGCGCAATACAGTGGGACATATATCCCACTTTTGCTCTCTCTCCTGTTAATAAATACCATGGTGATACTCCGTAATGACCACTCGTTTGAGCGATTTTATTGTGTATTTTGTAACTAAGCCCCATAGATGCATATTTTAACAGTTAACTACTACAGAGGGTAGGAAGTAATACAGTAATGAGAAGGCGAACTGTCTTCTCGAATGCTTAGCTGCAAGGTGGCAGTAATTTCCACCTCTACACAAGGCTGCGTCTCTGGGAGCCGAGAGTAAACATAACGGGAGTCAGGTTGTCAATTCAATTCCATCTGTGATTGTCCAATAGCATGCCAGCCAAAGTTGATAGTCTTCAAATGGAGATATGTCAGTTGGAGGAATACGGAGGCTGGGGATGAGAAATTCTTACAAAAAAGAGGTGTCTCAGTTGATTCTCGTCCCCAGTATTTATCTTAGAGTATATTTAGTGAACAAAGGAGTGGGCAAAGCATTCGTCTATCTTATTTATGTCAACAGTGACGCTCCCTCCAGGAAGTGATTTGGTAGTGACGTTGACAGTGGCTTGGGGCCGGATGATGTGGTGATAAACGTCTAATCTCATATATTTTGTCCGAATCCCTTTATACATTTTCCAGATTTCTGTATTCATTTAGAAAATAGATGCGAAATTCCCAGAATATTGCTAAAAGATGGCCCTAAACATGTAAATTCCTGTAGATATTACTTTTGTACTTAATTTCGCTTCTAAAGTACACCTTAATTAACCTTAAATCATGCAACTTCAATCCTCAGGATAAAAAATTCGAAATTTCTACTTCTAATTTAAAGTACTAGCATGCTATATGCGTTCACTACTAGCGTCACCTATATGTGACAGATGTTCTCTAGCCGTTTGTAATGATTTTTTTCCAAAATCCTATCAAGAATGGATTGTTTAAGTTTTAAAACAACAACTCAATAAATACTAACAGATAGAATTACGCTAGGATAATAAAATATTCAAGCTGTTGGGGTTAATTCCTCTCCGGAGACCTTAGTAACGGTGGTGTTAATCTGTGTTCTACCAAAATCCTATGAATAAAGAATGCAAATCTTTCATTCCCTTAGTACTTTTTACAGCCGATAAGACTATTTTTGTCCCAAATCCCCCTTCAACGTGTTCGGGAAGCTGTTCTTGAACGTCATAACCGACTGGAAGTTTATGTGTTGGGACAAACAATCAACGAAAACTAAGCTAAAGTGGTTGCTACAAAAAAGGACAATTTTCTCCATTCCATTCCTCTGACTACTGACCTTGAGCATTGGGGTATCATAGCTACCCTGACTCGGCAGCAAGATGTCAGAAGTTATCCTATCGTCCAATTTATTGCCCACCATTTGAGGAAGGTGGCGTAACAGAATGTACCACCCAGATGGAATTTCAAGAGTTTGGGTAATTGGAGAGGTGACTCCTTCAAGGAATTGAATGTTGACACTGGTTAACTGGAAAGTTAATTGCAAAGAACGGTTCCCAGCAATGTTTAATATGAAATATCAAACGATTCGTTTAGATCCAGATTAACCGAAAAGGAAAAGGGATGGAAACTCATAGAAGCTTGCATTGCCTGCGGTAGATTTTGATTTACTCGCTTGATGAAGGTCAAACGCATAGGACTGGAATCTATTCACTCGAAAGTATGGAAGACAATCTCTTCTTTTCCGAAGCGGGAGCAATCGTCCATCTACAAGGCAGTCCCTTTCTGCCCTTGCAAGATATAAACGGAGACCTCGTGTTTTTGCCTCCGCAAAACCTACACGGATTGCCCTAGTAATATTTCTCTAAGTGACAGACAAAGAAGGTCATCAGGTTTACGTTCTTTTATTTTTCCCGGGAAAATGCTGTATCAAATTGGATGTCGTTGGAACTTTGTTCCTTACTAGGAATGAGTCACACATGGTGATGGCGGGCAGTCCAATAAGATTTATCCAGTTGGTATGGTCCCAGTGATAAAACCTACAAAAATTTATTTACATTATGCTGTGGATACCTGCAACGCCAAAAGCTTCAATCAAAGAGTGATCGCCTGACATTCTCAAGGGTGATACTTTTGTTCGCTGTCGCCTGATTGGCTCAAATAAAGGAGGGATGTACTCCAAACGCAATGACAGTCTCCCAAAGGCCAAGGTCAACCAGTTACTATAGCTACGCGTGGCTGAAATTACTTGCTCGGACTCGTGCCTCCCTTTGCTTACTCGATCAATAGAGACAACTACTCAGAGGTCTCGATTATTGATTATCAGCTTAGGTCGAGAGGACCCAGGCCACTGGCACAAGCATCCGAGGTTTAGGCTGTAACACTTGGCGAGGTGACATGCTTTCTAATTTTAAAATCGACTAATCAGATGCCTTTAGTATTTCCTGACTCACCTCCATTACTGGCAGCAGTGTCGCCGAGATCGCTATTAGAGAAGGAGGATAAATCTGGAGACCGGGCTGGGCCAAATCTAACCCCATCGTGCCAGGAGAACCGGGCCGCCAACACATTTAGCATTCGGGACGTCTAGTTAGCATTCAAATTCAGCGCCTAGCCTTCTCCCGTGTCCTACTGAGACAAAGACTTGCTGTCAGAGAGCGTGACACGAACGACACCGAGAAGGGAGACATTCTCATCTTCATTCGCACGCTAGGAGCCTGGAGCCGAGTTAGTAGTCTTTCTATGCCCCCTCTTTGTGTTGGTAATAAAGGCGCATTTCCACTGCAGTTGAATTAGGCGCGGATATATCCCCAGTAGTATCGCACCGTGTGGAAAAGACTTCCAGTGGAAAAAAGAAGTTCGCTAATCGTCCAGATCATATGCCATCAAAAACCAGTTTGTGATGCGGACAGGAAGACAAGACAAGACAAACTTTCTACAGGTGAAACTCACTGGTCAACGCAACCAAGTGTTGCGTCAATTAGACAACTTGGATTCCGAGTTTTTTTTTGTGTCAAGATAGTGTATCGCAATAAATCGCGCCATTTTGTTGATCATCAGTCAGGGGACAAGGAAGTGACAGTTCATTAAAAACAATGAACACGAAGAAAAAACAGCCTTTACTTTTCATGAGGTTTCAATATGACGTTATACGAATACGAGACAAAAGCATGATTGCGGCTCTGCGGTTAAGGGAAAATCAACCAAGCCACCTAAATGACAAGGCTAGAGAGAAAGCGACGTTGGACTGGCAGGCATTTACTATTGAGGACAGATTTAAACGCCTCTACATAAATACCTGCAACAATATATACATACACCCACGACAAAATTAAATCAATTACCGAAAAATGATGGAAGAAAGAGACGGTTCAATCGAATTGAATGGATTGGGGATGGAGAACAGCCACCCTCCCAGTTCTTTATGGAAGAGACTGCCTTTTTTTAGCACTCTCCGAGGTATCTTCTGACTGTGAGGTAGAGGTGGAGGGCTTTTTGGGTGGTGGGATGACCACCACGGGTATTCCAGCGTGATGAAGAACAAAGTCACTGACACTGCCCAGAAGAGTCCTCCGAATGCGTCCCATGCCACGGCTACCCATCACAATCACATCGACTTGCTGCTCCTTTGCTAGGCGACAAATATGTTCACCCGGTTTGGCACCGATGTGAAGCATGAATCGGACTCGAATTCCCGTACCTTTGCACTTGTGAAGGTACCGTTTGCCAAGTTCTCGACCTTCATCCACCAATTCTTGGATGTGTCGACTAAAATCATCAGTAATAAAAGCTGGCTTGCTGGCAAGGCCGTAGTTGATGCTAGTACTGACGGGTTCAACGACATGAACAAGAAGTAGACCATCGTCCTCCCTAGCAAAATTGTTCGTATACCATTCGAATGCTCGGCTGCTGTTTTCATTCGCATCTATCGAAAGAAGGACTCGACGCTTAACGTTGGCTAGATAGTCCTCACTCTCTGAATTACTTCGAGTGGTGCTTTGATGAGCACGCTGTGTTGGCGGATCGGAGGCAAGAGGAGTCGGAGGAGAAGACATGACAAGGCCGAGAGGAGAATGAAAGGTGAACGGAGGGACGCAGGCGCGTGCGTGAACGATGGCATCAAGGCGTGTGTTGATTGGCCAAGCCACGAAGAATGCAAGTGTTCAGTGGGCCAATTAACGTCGGCCTGGCTTCACGCTGATTGGCTCGTGGTTTACAGGGTTTGGCTGGTATGTCGGTTCTGGCTTGCTTGGCCAGGTCACGCGGTCCCCGCCCAAAAATTTAATAAGTTAGTAAATTAATTAATGCCATCCTATCGTCCGAATTTAGTCCATGTCAATTGTGTCAAGATGTTTCAAAACTTGCAAGTTCAATCATTATAACCCATTCGGTATACCTAGCTAATCTATCCGATCCAGATATTTTTCTTAGACCACCCCTAGATCTACTCCGAGTCCTTCTTTCTTTCCTTCCTTACTTCCGTCCTTCCTTCATCAATGATAGCTTGGATGGATGGATGCTGCATTTGTATGGAGTCTACTCATATAATGAGATGGTAGTTGAATCATATTGGGCGATACTAGGTGAACCACTGTCGCAGACTACCACGACCCTTAACCTTGTATATCCTCTCACCAAGCTAGCACATCGTCACACCATGCTTGTTCCTGTATTACAGTGAAGCGAAATGTCAGTCATTTGAAGTCAGTTTTGATGACCTATGGGCGATGACCGATGATCAACGCAGAAGTGTATTCGGTGAGAACTCCAATGGATGACGCGCAAAATGCAACGGAAGTTAGGTCAGGCGAAATTAGATCAGGCGTCAGCACCATACAAATTTTAATAGCATTAGGCATTACTGCCATTTCCTCACCACCTCACTTCATCTCACCCTACTCCACTTCATCCCATCCAACACCACCCACAAGCACTTACTGCAATGCCACATCTGTGGTCGTTTGAATATTTTTTTACTTGTTTGACTTGGCCACTTCTTTGGAGCCGAGTCAACAGCGGTCTCCCTCCGGATTGATGTCACAGGCATCCCCTACTGTGGGCAGTTCCACTTGTTTGCGCTTTGTGAGCAAAGATGTCAGTGAAGCAGTAGTAAGACTGGCATGCATGCCCCATGTGGCAGTATTGAGGCCACATTGGAGGTGGAATCGTATGCTATTGCTGGTCAGCGACGTGCAGCAAAGGTATCATCAATTCACTTTCTCACCATGCTTGACAGTGCAGTGTGGTGACATTCAAAGAGACTTTGAGGCGTTAAAGCAGCACGAAACCGCAGAAGGAAGACCTGATGCTCCACAACCGGTGTTTCTTGTCAGATGAATTGCGAGCACACCGAGGTATGCGCACAGTTGGTCACAGCGAGGACCTGGAGGTGATTGGTTAGTGTTACCCCACGTTGAAGAGGTCAAAGCAGAGGGGTAATGGCTTGAAGGTGTTTTGTGGAAGTCCACCAAAGCTTATTTTTCTTGAGTCAACTTGTTGATGCACAAAGAAATGAGGTGAATGACGGGGTAGTATTTATGAAGTGCCTCTTCCTTTCCAAGAGTCGGTACGTTCTCTGTTCCATGTTTGTGGTTTCTCATCCCCCGTGATTAGCATTGTGTAAACTACCTCACCCCTGACCCTTGTAAGGTCATGAAAATGCGTTGATTACAGATGTGGAGGTGATTGAAATACCGGGGTAGGGGTAGAGGTGACATTACGTGGACCAGCATGCCACCGTCGCAGTGTTTGAATGGCGCAAGACATATAGGTTTGAAATCGAAGTAGCAAAAATGGATTGAAGTAGTCGAATGCTTTCCAACAACGTGTGACAAGGTGGAGGGTAAGGACAACAGAATAACTGAACAATAAGCAGATATACAGACAGATAGACGGAGAGAGAGGCAAGTGAATAGACAGAGAGACAAGTAAATGAATGAATGAGTGAGTGAGTGAAGGAAGGAACGGTAAACACTAGCACATGCTGGGAGGCCTGCAGCCCCAACAGACCAAATGGCACATATTTTTGATATTGATAGTGGCCCGATGAAGATAGGTAAGTAAGTCTGTTAAAGAACGAAACCTACTAGTACAAACTGGGTCGTGGTCGTTAGGTGACCGCATAACATACAAATTATAAACAGATGAGGCAAAGATGTGAGGGCCACAAGTGTTGACGACTCATTTTGCCTTAAGCAGGGTAAGTGGGGCTAGGGATGGGATATGAGACCACCTACCAGTACAGTGGCCTAGTAGAGAATTAAGGCAAATAAAAAACTCAGCCGGCAGCAAAATACTTTTCACATTCATCAGGGTTAGAATAATCAGTTTTCTTATTCTTATAATGTACTTAAATGAATTCTCATTTATATCATCAGCCAGATCTAGGCGTTAGCATCTAAATATTATTTTTTTGGACAAGGGATTACAAAAGGCTGTTTTTGGTACTTTTATTTAGTAAATAGAACAACTTTAAGCTACTTGTTCCAAGTATACCCCAAATTGGGGGCAATTTTTATTTAAAACCACTGTCTTCTGACCGCAAATCACGATTGTCACAAATTTGCATGGAATAGAATATCCCTTGACTAAGTTTCGCTACCGTAATGAGTCTAGCTTAAGTTAATCGGGTATTTCGTAGCACTTCCAGACTTACCTGAAGACGAAATCGGCATAATATTCGAGCAGAATAAGCATAGTACGATAGTGGTTTATCCCTCGGGATTAGTGAGGCGCCGCTTTTGTACTTTGAATTAGCCCTCTTGTAGCTGGCTGTGTGGGCTGGCCTTCGGGTCATGCCAATAGCTCAGACGCCTTCTCTGCGCCGAATATATATATATGCTACCCGAGTACTGTGTCTTCTTTCGCCTTCGGGGAGTCTCGGGACGCTACATTGGTGGCAGCGGAGAGCGAACCCGATCTTAGAGGACATGAATCCTGATTTTCCACTTCTGTGTGATAAACCTTAGTGGGGCGGAAGAAGTACACATGCTACGGATGGGAGAATGGTGATGATCCCTAATAGAAGGGCTGTAGTTGACATCTACCTTCGGCATCTCTCCCAGGCCCGTGTTCTGCAGAAAAGCTATTAACAACTGAAGCGACGCTGGCCGTGAACCATCTGGAAGTTTCGTTACAGACCTTCCCTACCGTCCCCCATGGACCTGTATCAAATCCCGTCCTTCCTTACACAAATCTACTTTTATGCCAGTGCTCCTACATCCATCTATGGACACGCATGATGGCCAGTGCAATTCCCTCGTCCTGAATCAGGTTCCCAAACCACACGAAACTCTAGATCCATTAAGCTGCCAAGAGGGATCAGTAACGTTGAGGTCAAGTATCCCCTCAGTTGCACGCTAATTTGGTGACTGACACGGTCGGATAGCGGGTGTTTCTTTACTGCACCGACTACGTTGTAATGGCTGACGCAGGAGGTTGACCTCCGGGAGAGCCGGGGACGACGCGCAAAAGAGGAGGGAGGCTACGTAACGCAATAGTGGTTTATCCCTCGGGATTGGTGAGGCGCCACTTTTGTACTTTGAATTAGCCCTCTCGTACCTCGCTAGGTGGGCTGGCCTTCGGGCCACGCCAATAGCCCAGACACCTTCTCTGCGCTGAATATATATTCTGCCCGAGTATTGTGTCTTCCTTCGTCTTCAGGGAGTCTCGGGACGATACATAAGTGTTGTGGACGTAAGGAGTGTATTGGGGCTATTGGCATGGCTCGAAGGCCAGACCCTCTCGTGGAAATACAGTGTCTCACCTCCTAAGCAAACCATTACCCAAACCTACGTATAAAAATAATTAAACTGTTATGATTTGACGCTTGCTTTTGTAATATGGACGCATTAACGTGGGACGTGTTGAGGATTATTTCAACACATATTTTACAATTTTTTTATTAAAAAAACGGACATACTTTCCTGGCCGATTGGCAAATTGGCCGGTTAAATGCGTAGTGAGCCTAGGGCAAACAGTTACGATGGTGATCCACCTGACTCAGATACAGTAAAACCGTAAGTTAGCCTCTACGAGGTGTTAGGTATATCACATTCACAAGTGCGTTTCCTGCTGTGCTACGTCTTCTCGTAACCGTTTGACCAAATCCATTAGACGCATGTGGGGAACGGAAATTAGGGCAATGCATAAATCATTCCAACTGTCTAATTAAATTATTTCAAAGTTTTTTTTGGAAAGGTTTAGCAAAAAACTGCAGCGGGTTTTTAATTTTTGCCTTCTTGTTTATTAGTTTTAGTTAGCTATTGCACAAGAGCACCTAGGCATCTAATGGGCCATCAACATGAAGTGAATCTCAAATTGCTCGAGAAAGACGTTTACCTTCAAATGTACCGTTAAAACTGCACAGCACCTCACGCCTTTTCCCCATTCCTGTGTTTACTTCGTTTTACAATTATTGGACAAATATTGTGCTGATATTTGTCCCCTGGCTAAAAATTCACGAGACATTACGCATACACTACTGATGGAAGATTCATTTTAGTTTTTTGTTAATACATGATTCTCTTTAAATTAGGGCGTGACGATTTTGGGGCTATAGTGGGTCGATGTGCATTCTTCGTAGGTTGTCAATCTCTAATTGACCCAGTTCGAACGTTTAATTTATCAAACTGGATAAAGTGCTAAAAAATAAAGTGGTTGACATTGGTTCCGGACATTAAGGCGAATATTATGTGTCGAAATGCCGACGTTCCGTCTTAACTACTTGAACTTCTAATATCACCAGGAGCACTAGCCTCTCATCCTTCCTCTGTACACCAACTGAGGTCACCTTTACGCCTATAGCCCTTGTAGTGGCCTTATGCAGTGCAAGGTTCTCTAATCTATGTAAAAATAAGCTCTCTTGAACCGTTTCTGCCCCAAAATTGGAAAACAACCGCCTGTAGGAGAGGTCATCCGAATCCCATTAACTAAATTTATTAGATCACACATCTCCAAATTCTTCTTCCGGAAGATCTTCTGCCTGATTAGTCCTGCACTTTGAAATCAAATGGAAGAGTAACCATTATGGCTAGGAAGTTCCGCTAAAAAATGAATGGTCCCTTCAGCATAAGTGAAATTTGAGTGACTTTTAGAAGGGGAATCAGATGCTAACAGATGCGATGAAGTGAATGTAAATCGCCTTAAATAAGTTTATTTCAAATATGGTGCATCAAGCAAGCCTGATATTCCATAGATGAAGAGTGGATGTCCGAGCCACCGCAAATCCGTCTCAAGAACCAAATGTAATTCTATAGGTTCCACGCACGTGACAAAACTTCCGGTTTGTGATAGACAATACGACACCACACAGGGCCCATTGCTATAGAACATGTGCATTCACCATCCACGATTTGACCTCTATGATGGTAGCATGATCGCCTGCTCTTGCCATCTGCACCACTTTCCGAGATATTATGCGCCATGTGAGGGAGAAAGTACACGCAACTGCCTCCACCAAGGAGTCAAGTCTAAACGGACCTTCTGGTTACACTACAGACAAGAAGCATCCGTTGTGGGCGATCGAATCCGCTGAAGCCAATTAAACGCATCACAACACCGAACCCACATCTTCACTTGGCTTCATTATCAATGTAATTCTTGTAAAAGCACAATTAGAAGCATCTGCCTCAACGACGCTCTGCGGGGCATGGCGCTAGGCTCTTTTTTATCCGCAACATAGAGAGAGGTAGGTAGGAAGAGAGGGTGAGTGAGAAAGCGGGGGATGGCTAAAGAAGGGAAGGGAGGGAGGAAGCGTATATGCAAATGTGTATAGAGACAGAGAGGGAGGGAGAAAGGGACTAGATAAGCGCTCCATGTGTACAGTATAAGCAGTAGGGGACATGAACACATACACACGCACGTACGCATGCAAACAGGAACGGCAGAAGGGAAAGAGGTAACGAGACACAGCATGATGCGAGGCGAAATGCAGCTAGATCGACAGATGATATTAGTAGCAATAATAATTTTCGTTTTTTATTTGCTCTCATTTATCTTCGCGCATGTGTATGGGTAGGTGTGGAAGCACTCATCGACGCGTTTGACACTGTGAAATGGCACGGAGAGCGTAGGAAAGACAGGCCTGTTTCCTCGCCTCCATGATCAAGATCATGACGTGAACCTAAAAGAACATGTTGCATTTTGGCTACTCATTTAAATTAAGTAACACAAGTACAAGGACGGTGTTTGCCACACTTACGACTTCGGGCGCACTAAGGGCGGCAAAGATCCCGCGGCCAGCGGTGGGCCGATAGGCGATCAGGTCGGAGGGTCGTGTAGCACAGACTTTGAGGAAACAGCGCTGCTCTAACGAGAGCAGTTTGAGCACGTGTTCGTAGCGCAGGTCCTCGTGGCAGGCGCCGAAAACGCTCTGCACGAAAAACCAGAGGGTGTGACGCAGACTCGAGGTGTTGACGTCGTTGTATTCATTCAATCTGAAGCCACAAAGAAAGCACTACAGCCCGAGCATTTCGAGTCCTCCACCGCGTAGATTCCAAGCCTGCAATCCACCATCCCAAGCCCAGCAGTCATTCAGAGTGCTGTGGCGTAAAGTCACCGTGTGGAATGTATGCCTCATTCTGCCTCAACCAACCTGTCGCCGCGAGACGAATGTTGATGCAAACAATAGGAGCATTCACAAACACGAAAATTTACAACTCGGTATCAGTGCACGCGTTGGGTACCAAATCAGTACTGCTGACGAAATAAAAAAGGAGTGAAAAATGGGGAACACAAAAACCTACGTGTTGTAGGTCAACTCGAAGGCGTTTTGAAAGGTCTCGTCGAGCAAACTTCCAAGGGAGCTAGCCAGATGATCCACAAGAGGGCAGCCTTCTTCCATCCACGAAAACTCCTGCAATGCAAAAGACAATAACGCGAAATTCAGCTGTGGAGCAAGATTGTAACAGCACTAAAGTGGGCGGGTACTCTACTGCCTCAGTAGCCGTCGGACTAGGGAAAGTGGATCCAATAGTGGATTGAAAACTACACAAGATCTAAACACGAAAACACGACTACGAAGCCGCAACTTACAAAGCCCGATGTCTGAAAGAACACCAATAAAAGTGGCAATGAAGGCTACATACATTTTCCATCGTATGCACACGCACACACACGAAGGGCGACAAAAGCAGGATGACAAGCAAAACATACAAAGACATCACACATTGTCTTGGTTTTACAAAACCAAGTGGAAGGTTAGCTAATGACGAAACCACATTCGGGGATTCCCATTTCACCGCCACTTAGGGGTTTATACTTCACAGTCCCCTCAGAATAGGACTTCCGTCGTGTACATTACAAACACAAATGTAAAGCTTCCTCAGACTGAGTACAAATGACAGCTTGAAAAGTCCTTCGCTAGTGGCAACTCCAATTTCCACAACGTAATACCAGGGCGGTGGAGTATGCAGAGCTGAAGGCGATGAACATCTTTGCACTGGTAAAAATGTTGGCAAAATTGGATAAGTGGTTAAATTGATTCTGCACAGACCAGACCGGAGAAACCGTCTGGAGCGTTGAATGGGTGGGATGAATATCAATTTCCAGTTGGCGACCGCCAACTCACCGAGAGAAGGAAAGGCGAACCGAAGTAGTCCACAAAATAACTACCCGGGAAGGGTAGGAACTTTGTCACAACTGGATGCTCCTCCAATGTGAAGTTGTCCGATGCCACGACCTTCTCACAGACCGCTGTCAAATTCACTGAAAAGCCAAAAGTGGAGTGGATAAAAAGTCGGTGTCACACCCTTACTCTGACAACACCACTTCAGTCACAACATCGCATACTGACGATGCATAGCTAACGCGGTGTGGCGGGAACTGCATTCCCGATTTCACCCTAACGCCCATCATAATTACTTGCAGAGCTGCACACCTTATAGCATTGCCGGCAAGACACAACAAATTCATCCGATTCAGCCTATATAAGCTCCATCAACAGCCAAGTCGGGATGACAGAAGTCCATCATCATCTATTGAGAGGAACTCACGCTCTGCCGTCGACTTGGCGTAGGACTGGAAGATCTCGGCCACCACTTCGTCGTCGCCATGACCGTCCCACTCGTCAGGCTCTGATTGTAGCAGCTTTACGAGGTGATCCGAGGCCTTCGCTTGACGATCCTTGTAGTGCTGCTCGTTCATCAAGATCTTGAGCACGATAAAAGAAGATAAACTGATCGGAAGAGCTCGAATCTAGCATTTATATCAGGCCATGGTTTCAGAATGGCTCATAAAATATACTGCCTTAATATCTAGAATTAAAAGGGATTCCACAGAGCAAGGAACTTCCAGGCAACCCCAAATCTGTTGCCCCAGTTCCTTTATTTGAAAGCAAATTTAGATAAATTCCTTTTGACCTGCAATATATTTCATTGAAAAACTGGGGCTTAACGGACCCCTCTCCTTCTAAGTGTCACCCATACATCACTGAATGAATGAGTAAAAGTCCACCTGTACAGCGCCACTATCTATAATTAAATGTTATTTTTGCAGGAAAAGGGAACTGCTCCAATCCTGAGCTCTTCACCATGGCTACTGACAAGACCCAATTTCAGCGAGTCCAAATCGGCCGCGGAAAGGGGACAACTTAAAGGAGGCTGCCCTCTAAAAGTGCAAAAAACACGTTAATAGTACAGGCAACTGAATGGACAGCATTGGAAAAGCAGAGGCGCTAAAATATCACCTTATCATTACACTTGGAGAAGCGTTTCGCGATTGGCAAAACGTCCTTCAGTTCAAAAAGATCCCATTAAAGTAAATGGCCTTCAAGTGGAGTCCGTCTGGAAGTAGAAAGGTGTGCAGCAATTTGTCAACCCTTCCCTCACTGCTGATTAGATTTGGCAACACGTCAGTAACGTGTGGATTTTGGGAAAAAAGGTCATCCGTTCACACTTGCCATGCGTAATTGTAAAAAGATCAAAGAGGGGATTGACGAGGTCGAAAGACCACACATTACAGCCCGTAGAACCGGCATCGCATTTACGACATTGAATGGACTAAAAAACTTTCGGAGGAAAAAAGTGATCTTAGAAGATAATTTATTCCCTAGCTAGGGTATAATGCTGCCATCGTAAAAGCTTAATTTAGCGTAAAATGCATCCCAGGTCAAAGCTATTCACGCACACATACAGGGGGAAAGGACTTTGGATGAAATAAATCATGCTGGCACTTTGGGAGAGCTGTTCGAACATGAAGTTATCACAGTACAAAGGGCAGAATGGATTACAGACCCATTTAATTAAAAAGCTCTACCAGCTTCACTTTGACGGTTGGCTTCACTCTGCATTTGACCACGCGGCCACCCAAGTCCCCACGGATTGTATTGTAGCCAAGTGGCATGGCCTTCAGGGCATGTCAGTAGCGTCTAAGCCCCTCTGCGGGTTGGACATATATGTTCTACCTTGCTGCTGTGGCTTCTTGCAACTCCAGCGCCTTCACTTACCTATCTGAGCCCGGGAACCAAGGGTGTGCGACACGAGTGATAACCGAGCCATGTCGTGAGGACGAAGACATCCGGGTAATCACATCTTTTTCTAAGTTCCAAGCACTATTTGAACTGATTAATTCGACTGTGCGAGTGTACTGGTGTCAAATCGAAGCAATGAGACCTTACCCTAGAGTTTCCACTAGAGGACGTGGTAAGTGCTAATGTGGAGTGGACTAAATCAAAGGTTGGAAGGGAATGGGGAGAAATGAATAGAGCAGGACAAACTTTTACATGCGTTTAAAACTTCGACTTGTTGATGAACCCATTTCTTTCCTTTTTAATAAAAATTTGGACAAAAGATATAACTATTGGTGCCTTGTCTTCGTTAAAGTGCAGACAGCTGTAGCACGCATGCACACGCCTGGTTTTCCCGTTGCACTTTTACAAACCACTTTTCCCAAAAAATGTGGAATTCAAATAGCACTTTGTGCAATTTAACATACTTCTTGAGGAAGACTTGGCATGCCATGAATTCCAAAAATGTTGGCATCGAAGTTAGTAAATGTAGCATCAAGTGATTTATTATTTGATTCAAAGGGCGTTTAGAGGTGACACAACTTGGGAAAAATCCCTCATCTCTCTATATTTGCGGCCTGACCGTATCAACATCTCGACTCAACAAAAGGTGATCCTTCTACTGCATTATATGGTGTATGAAATGGAAGGGGGAAGGGGAGCGAGGAACGTACAAAAGTCTTGTCTCCAGGGCCGACGATGGGGAAGGCGGAGGCAGGGTCGGCGACTGCAGCGGTAGTAGCTGTGGTATAGACACAAGGCTGGTAGGGCGAGGGGCAGATGTGCTCCAGCTCGGGTCTCACCGCAGCCCCGAACACGAAGCATGCCAGTGCGTGAACATGCGTCACTATGGCAACGGCATGCATCAGCTCGGAGAGGGAGAGCTTCTCGCCCCGGCCCACGGCCTCGTCACCACGCGTCAGCTGGTAGATGTCGTCCTGCCAGGTGGGTCAATAGTATTCCACTTATTCGTGGTCTATGCATACTGCTAAAGTAAAACTACCTGCAACTACTAACGTAACACCCTCGTCATTACTGCCACACATCTGTAACAGTTCAATTAGTTTATTCATCTAATTAATTACTCAAATCAAAGGCTTAGGAAGCATTCTCTTTGGCATTTGAAAAGTTTTGCAAGGTAAAAAAAAGTAGTACCAATTAACCGAAGCTATGTGGATGGGGGAAAACGTCAGCGAGGGTGTATGAGGGACCATCATTAGCCGTAGCCACAAGCGCGGACAAACATCCGACACAAAATTACGCTAGCGGCCACATGAAATAAGATCCTGTAGTGAACCTGAAGCCACTATGACGAGACACTGGATCAAAATCGGAACGTCTTACATCACTTCTAAGAGGTGCATTCATAAAAGGACCTCCAAGCTAAATTCCATCACGGCGGTGTTGTTCCCTCGCGTCCAGGCCATTTTTCAAACGAAACACATACACATAAACACAGACAGTGGTGAATTTATTCAATTATCATTATTATTAATACCGCGAGTGCGAGTCATAAAAAATCCAACTTACCGCGGTAATCTTCCAGGGTGAGTGAGCCAAATTGTGGTTGAGGTGCTTCAATTGGAACCAGCGAGACGGCGCCTGTGAGAGACTCTCAAGCCAGGTGCACTCGCCACCGGCTTGCAGGAAGTAGCGCACAAAAAGACAGACGAGTTGGGGACAGCGCAGCTCTGCCGCAGCCTGGAGGTGAATGCAAATGAAAGTAACGCACTCCCTGTCGAGCATACAAACCATGCCGATTGAATTACTACAAATGGCAACTCGCAAACAGAAGTGTCGTGAAGTTTGAAAATCTTCCCACCGTGATAAAATCATCATGTGATTACCAAACAACTTTGGAATAAGCAAGAGTAGATGAGTGGCTACCGAAAAATGTGTAACGGAATGGCATTTGCAATGATTGTGTAGATCTCGAGACGCCTACAAAATGCATGGACAAAGGAACATATGCAGTCAGGCCGCCGCCGGCCACTCGATAATGCAGGGGGCCCGCCCGCCTGTTAAAAAAACCAGAGGTACGGTCGTCTGGTGGAGCCCTCCATCGAGTTAGCCTAGGATAGTTGGTGGGTGGATTGGTTCAAAGTCCCAATTCAAGTGGACACACAAGATTTAATGCCAATGCTACTCAGGTATTCTGCTCATAAGGCACGTTTCGCGAAAATTAAAAACGCGTAAATTGACAGCAACCTGACAGATGAATGAACAAATGGTTTGTGAACTTTGGTAATGCGATACACAAAAAAACGGGACCAAGAGGAGCACAAACAAGCAGCTTGTTTTGATGAATAAGTAATCATGCGCTTAACAGGATGCAAATGTCAGAGTACTGTCTGGACAGCGAAAATAAAGTGAGATTAGAGTCCAAAAACTGTGTTGCAGGTGGCCAAATTCGAAGATAGCCGATTTGAATAGGTGTCAAGTGGACTGATGGCAGTCCCACAAAGAAGGCAGTGTGGAAGTGGCGGATCGGATTGCCAGGGTGAATAACTACTACCGAACACATGGTAATTTTACTGATTGACGGAATTCACGTTTAAGTAAATTGCTCTTACCGACGTAATCACTGACGCGCAAGAGCTGAAATGTCTCAATAAGTTAAAAGAAGAAATGGGTGAACACATCTGGGCGCACATATTCTTACATATATTTTGCATCACAAATTATTTGCATTACCAGGGAGGTTACTTTGGAAAAAAAAGGTAACCAGTGATGGACAGGGCATTTGACAGCCTTGCCACGATTGCTTCCAAGATATGCCAGGCATTGACAACAGAGGTGCCTTTCCCCCTGTCAAGCGCATCCTGCCGCCTTTTAACCGATGTAGCGCCAATTTCATCGCCTATGAAGGTGTTATCAGACGCACGGACCGGCAGAAAGAAGAGAGGAGGTAAGAGATTAGCAGCGCAGGAACCGAATCGTAAGGGACACCATTACGGTATCAAGCAGGATGTGTAGAGAGCGAAACCTACCAGAATGGCCAGATAGTAGCGCACAGGATAGGGGAGGGAGAGGTCTCCAGTGAAAAGACACTGATGAACCTTGATGAAGGGCTCAAGAAATTCCGGATGACAGCCGAGGATTTGGATGAAATTGTCCAACCGACCCCAACGGTACCAGTACTCGCAGAAGAGAACGTAGGTCTGTAACACAAAAGGCATCACAACTGCATTTGATAAAATAGAATTTCAGTTTGATAAGCCTATTAAATAGACATTATGTTGACTGGGTAGGAATTTATTGTCTGCTCGATGTGAATCACAAGTTTGGGAATGAAAAGTGACGTCTGAGAAGCAATAAAGAGGCGACGAAGTATTGAGCGCATGCAGGAGGAAGAAAAAGATGACGTGATGTACTTTTTACAGGTGAAAGTGAAGAGGAACAGTGAACGCTCTAAATTTCCAATCCTACAAAATAATACGATAAAAAACGTGCGCATGTGCGTGCGTGTGTGCTTAGTTTTTATGACTTAGCAGGGAAATTAAGTCCAACTGCACAAGATTACCATGGCGCCATCTCTGCCAAGTACAATCGCACCGAAAATCAGCTACATCAAGACCAAACACTTTTTGGGGGAGTGAAAAACTCGTGAGATAATATGCCCGTCACATGCAATGAGAACATATGTAGACGTTGATAACTCACCGAGAACATGGGATCGTCATCGTAAGGCTCTTCGAAGATGACCCTAAGATGGGGCAGATCGTCCATGGAGAAGGAGTAGGATGGGGATAGTTGAAGGGGTATTTCGAATATGAAGTGCTTCTTTTTCTGCAAAGCAAGTGGAAAATTAGGATGAATAAATGACCTATCGGCGTAGGCAAATTTCACTTCATCAACTCAGCTCCAGAGTTGGATAAATGTTGGACATCACCGTATCGGCTAAATTCGTGATGATAGACACACAGACAATCGGAATGGCAGTATCGAACCCCGTTTTTTGACTAAAAACCATATTAGAGATCGGCACAGGCTGGAAGAGATAAGTTCCTTTATCTGCATGAAATACTTGTGCATATACACTACTGAAGTAGGATAAACAGGAAAGTCACTAGCAGAGAATTACAGCTAGACGAACAGGATCCCACAGGCAACCTCTAAGGTCATGAAAATCTAAACAAACTTACCTTTAAGTCCTCAATGATGGTCTGGCAGAAATCACGCACATCTCTTAGAGGACATGTCTGAATAACCCGCGCAAAGTCGGGTATCAGAGAAAGGATGTTGTGGTGCATGGAGGTGTCCACAGTGGTCCCATTGCTATCCTGACTGTAGGACTCAAGGAAACCGGCCACAGCGGGGCTGCCGAAACCGAAGAACCAAGAGTCAATGACGCGTTGCACCGATTGCGCCCACTCTGTGCGTAGAGTAAATTCGCGGTGGCTGAAGCCCTGCAGTAGGCTCAATGAGTCCACCGACCGACTGGCAAAATCAAGGGAGATGCGCTGCAGATCTCGGAGCATCGCTGTGTTCCTTCGACAGTTACAATTACGTGGGTACTGGGTTTACGTTTACGAAACAAAAAGCGATGTTTCAATAAACTCAAAATCAGGTATCATTTCAGAATTGTTAGCTCATAATGATATCTTGGACCGAACAGCTGCAAAAACCGGTGCGATATTAACTGTACGCATGCATTTGGGTAATCAAGCTTCCAACGTAATAAATAGGAAGTGATACATAAGCAAATTATTTATTCTGGCGATCGTAGAAAATACGCGATTAAAACAGTTAACTCGGCCAACTGTGGGACTCGATTACCTAATTTTAATCACTAAGAAGAGCTCCGCGTAAGACCAAAAGCTGTTGACAAAAAGCGAGCGTGATAATGTTCCAACTAACTTTGCGTCTAGAGTCAAATGTCACCATAGGCCAAATGTGAAATCCTTACAGGCTTCAAGGGGAGAGGCGATTCGTTGAATAAATCATAAAAGGCGAAGTCAAAGAAATTAAAATTTTAGATGTGTGCGTGCAGTGAAGTAAAATCAGGACTATCCTAAATTAAGTGTTTTAAAAATTCACCTTCAACTTTGGGAATGCAAAGAAAGTATAAATGTACAAATTTACAAACACCGCAATACGAAAATATGCCAGACGTTTTCGTAAAATTATGCGGTCCAACATTATGAATAAAGTGTGATGCATACGTTCAATGCACGTATAGGTATTAAAATTAGGAAGTTTGGGTGCAAGATTATGACTAAGAGAAGAGTTTTGGCAGTATCTCCAAAACGGCATTGAAATTATACGACCAACTACTAAAAAGTCCATCCACAAGCAAAAGTACTTATGCTATAAAAGGGTATACTGGAAGGAATAGGGGTTATCTAGAAACACTGTATAAATACGGGGATTGTAAAAAAGTATACTTGAGTAAAAGGCACCTCAACAGAGTCCAAATAGATTCAAGTAAACAAGTGGCTTGACTAGCACTTGGCTCCATTAATGGAAGTACAAAATCCAACAAGTCAGCACGGTCAGGAAAATAACAAAAGGATGAGCAATTACGTTATCGAAAAATGGTCATTTTCCAGAAAAAAGGTCACTAAGAATGCTAAGGAAAATCGTCTTGGTTAATTCTACGGAGAAACAGCTATCCTATTGCAAGCAAAATAAAAAATGCTTTGAAGGCCTAAATAATGTTCGCTAGAAAGCATAACTGTTTAACAAGTGTATTTTATTAAGGTTTGAAGTCACTTATACAGCACAAAATGCACATGAACCAAGAAAAGTGTTCTCCAAACAAACCTAGCCCAAAAATCGCACAGGAATTAGGACTTTCGTGTCCCTTATGATATGGAAACGTTAGATGCTTACTAAAAGAATTTCAACAACACCGAAGGCCGGAGAAGCGAACCATGCACTAATGAATAAACAGGTTTGTACGCACACGTTCTATACTGATTAATGACATTACGAAAAGGCTAAATAGCGATTAATTATTAAATGTGAAATAAAAGTCCCAAAATTTGTAATCAATTAGTAAAATGCAATAAACGCATGCAAGCATTTTTAAAACTGCTTTTAAATTTAAAACATCTTACATTTTACGAAAAAACGTGCAGATATTATCCGCATTAACCACCCCCTCTTGGAAACGCAAGTGTCTTTGCTAATTTTAAGCATTGTATGGCAATCTCAAGAACTCTTTAAAACAAGTTAAATAATGTTTTAGGTTTCGTGTTGTTTATAGTGCAAGGGTCTGCGGCGAAATGGTA